TTTCAGTTTGTAGACAGCCGTGTCTTAAGTGTAAAAAGTACTGCTAACAGCTTCAGTAGCAGAGCCATTAGTGATGTCATATGATTGTGACGTCATGGTAAGCAATGATGTCACAATGGTTTGCAAAGCATTGTGATGAAATTTCATTGCAGCAATATCTAGATCTCAACCAAGCCATATCTCCTGTGGGAGCCAGTTTTGGATGATAAAAGGATAACAACAGATTTTTTTTCAGTTTTCATCTTTAATGAAACGCACATAAAAAGACAAACTTTATTTCTTACCATATGCAATGTTTGAGTGTGCTAAATGAACTGGAACTATGAATATTTTTGAAATTATTACAAGTCTTATATGTATGTAGATACATTTCTAAAAAATTACATTCATGCATAACACATTACAATGTTACATGCTATTTCCCCCATACTACTTTCATACTATCACAATTATGAATTTGTAAGGGACATACATGTATATATATACTGATACATATTAATGTAAAGTACATTTACAAAGAACACATGCAAGTGATGAGAGCACAATTAACATGATATAAAGTCTATTAGTAGTTTTCATATTCTGCATTTAAGCCCTGTCTATTCTCCCAGTTACTTTCACATTTGCAGTGGATGCCGCATTGAATCCCCATTTTGACACAACTACAGGATGTGCAGAGTCTGTGTGATGATTTACATGAACACTTATTTCCTTCAAGAGTTCTGGAGGGGCTTGAGGCATGTCTGTTATAATTGGGACTATACTCCCTTCAACTGATTTAAAGCCATGTGTCTATTTGTCAAAAACAGTTTTAAGAGATTTTCATATTGACACTTGCAGATGAACCCTTAGACAATGAAAATAACACGCCCGTCTTGTTTGGGGCATGCACTCTACACTTGTGAACTTGGTTTATTTTACATTTTTGCATCTCAACTCATCCAGTTTCTCGTTTTGTTTCCCACCATAGAGTTCACAGACATACTGTTCTCCCATTTCTTTGATAACTTGGAGAGGAACAGATGATTCTCCAAAAACTGTGTCTTTCTCATGTAATTGATTTGTGGAAGTGAATTCAGATGTTTAGATTTACCAAAGCCGAAGAAGGAAGACGTTGTATCACATCCTGATACTACTTTAAAGAAAGGAGGATTGTGACACAATTGTTCTCCTAGGCAACGTTTTGCGTCTTTTATTGACATAGTTCTTGATCTTGTCTTCATGTAAACATGGCTCTGGGAATCCACATGATGTATCAGTAGGTCGAAAATCTCAGTGTCTTCAGAAATGACATGGACGGTTTAATGTTTCTCTGCCAACTCCTCAGCTTTTTGAACAATAACAACATCAGCGTCCCCTTCATCCCCTGCGTGGCTTACTAACACACGTGAGATTAACTGTTTGTTGTTTATTTTTATTTTCAAGGCAGCTAGCTGCATCACTTGGAACTGGAGTATTTGACTTCCGCATAACATCAACCATTGCAGTTCTGCGCTTCTGTTCCTGATCTTTTGTTGTTACATCATAACTGTTGTACACAACAATTACCTCATAGTTCGTAGATGACCTGTAATGAATCGTAGAGAGGAATATTTCACATACGTCCAACATTGTCCCAACCTTTGGCCATTTCAACTGTTGAAGTAATGCACATCCATCAAAGACTGTTGATACTGATGGAACATTTGGCGAGTTGTGAGTTCGTTGATTTTCTCATGCTACCATCATCATGGAACAAGGCAGGTGCCACAGACGAAAGTTCATGGCCGAACACAGATGAAGATGGTGGTCCTATCGTGTTGGCGACAGTGAGAAGTCGCTGATGCAACTCAAGTGATGACATGCGAAGTATATAAAAAAAAAATTCCAAATCCAAAATAGTGTCATATGACACTGTCATTCCTAAGGCTGAATGGAGATTGAGTACAAGTTCTGACCTTGTAGTCTGGTGGATGAACAATCCAGGAGAGAACAGCAACGGAGACTGGTATGGATTTGGGGCAACAGCATTCATCAAGATATGACATAGAGATATCATCTGCAGTTTATTTCTATCTGAAGATGTTGAAGATAATCCTAAAAGACTCTTCGTGAAAGCCAGTAGAACTTCAGGAACTTCAGGACTCTCTAAAGCCTTGATGTTTAATTCATCTGACGAAGGAAAGTGTTCAGTGTCAAATTTGATGTCAGATAAAATTTCCTGACATCAGATTCCTGAGCTTTTTTCCAAATTGGCGTGACTTGGCAATCAATTCATTCCCATCCTCCTTGTCGTCAGTACGAAAGGCTTGGTGTAAAATCTCTGAAGTTGTATGTGTGAATTGGAATACATTCTTCTTTCCTCCTAGTTCAGTTATTGTCAATTTATTGCCAAAAGGATTTGCAGTTTACGTTTCAAATGCTTAACACTGTAAAGTTCAACACCCTGTGGAAGAAATGAAGACAGTTTTACTTGTAGATCTGATATAGTAAGCTGACTCCCAGTTTGTAATGACAACCAGGTGCACAAGTTACTGAAACCATTGGAATTTGTCAAATTTTGATTACTTTCATTCGTATCACAGTCTTGTTTACAGCGTAAAAAAGTTTGCAAACATTGGCGATGGTAGATTGCCTCTGCTGCTCTAATATCTCCATAATATCTCCAGCACATATGATTCTTGACTTGAAATCCAGAGCCTGCTAATCTGAACGCTTTGAGCATAGTTCCAATAATGTATCTGCAAAGCGGTACATTTTTCCAATTTGTCAACAATTTCAACTGAACCGATGGTGTCCTTTTGGATTCTTTTCAACATTAGGAAAGTTAATACCGTCTGCACAAATAAGACAGTGAGTCTTGTAATCAAAATTGATTTGTAATTTCTTGGCGGTAAAGTGTCAAGTTCATAGTTTCTTTTCTTCAAGAAATAATGCATGATTTTATGAAGTATATGACTTCCTGCATTGTTCATGCACAACATAAGCTTGTTCATTACATAAAAGAGGCAGCAGTTGTTCATGTTTTCCATCTTGTCTTTTCTTAGACGAAGAAATAATTGATAGGAAGCCCTTTGTTGATTAGTTAGCGTCCCATCCTGCTTGGTCACATATGATATATATCTTCAAATTACTATGCAAATCAATAATAAATTTAAAAGAAATTAACATCATTGAATAATTGAATCCATTGTCTCAAAAAGTAACATTATTTCTTGAGTTATTATGCTTAGAACAATTAATTGACTCCCTCGTATAAAGCTAAATAAATATATGTCTCTTTCTATTTTGTTCTAATCATCTAATTTCTTCAAAACTTTTAGAGTAAAAGAACAATAAGTTCATTTTGATATAGGTAGTGGCTATTTGCGGCATAAATATATAAGCTACATCATTATGAACAATGTAATTAGTGATCTAATAAGAATCGCACTCTGTATCCTTTAGAATGAACAGAAAAATACGTTATTAAGACTTATGTTTTCTTTATTAAAATGAGTAATTGATACAAACATATTCTTGACAATTAAACAGATCAATGTAAAGATTATTAAGGTTATGTATTGTATATTTTTTTTATCATGAATATTACATTACCGCCGTCATATGCTGGAATATTGCTGAGTGCGGCGTTAAACAAAACAAAAAAGAGAATATTACATTACAAAAACAAATCGGGTTAGGCAGATGTTCCTAGAGGAAAGAAGTCTGATGGAAAATAGAATACTTCAACTAACAGCTAATTTGCAATGTATGGATGCAATTGAAGATTACATTAAGGGGGTTTAATGAAGATTCTCTACAGGAAGTAGCTAAAAAGCATCATTAAAAATTGGGTTCAGAAGACGCTCTCAGATAGAAAATTAGTATGTTGGAACATAGTATCACTACAACCTACACCTGATATATAGGGTATAGATTTAACAATGATTAAGGACATAGTTGTCAATGAAACGCATATGTTTTAATATACCTAACCAATGTTAATTTTACATAGAAATCAATGGGAACTTGATACCAATATTTGATGAAATATCTAGCATATATCAAATACATTACATTGCATTCGAACCATAAATAGAAAAATGATCAACATAGTTATTCATTTGTAACAAATGTTGTACACAAAATGTAAATTTTTCTCACCACTTAGATGATTTTCACTCTCAGTCATGACAGCAACAAAGTAGAAAATGAATATTATTCCACTGTAAATCAGACGACATGGAGGCTGACATGTTGTTTATAGTAGCAACAGGGTAGTACTTTCCTAACAACTATAAACACTGGGATACTGAATGGGGAGTGATTTGGAGCAAACTTTGACAAGGCATTTTAGATTTTCCTCAAGTCTGTCTTTTATATAACATCTCCTATACCTAATTAATGATTTGTGATAGAAATTTGGTTGTTCCTTAAAATTTCCGGGTTGAATTAATTTACGGGATTTCTCTACGGGCCTAGTAGATAATTTGTTACAAAGGAAAGTGTTATCCTTATGCTGTTAAAATAATTTAAAAAGTGAAATACTACTATTAGTTTTACAAACACTCTGATGTTTTTAACCAAAGAAGTAATGTCTGTGAAATTAATTTATTTAATGTCCCACTTGTTCTCTCATATTAAGCTGTTACTGGAACAAAGCACCTTTTTAACCAACCTCATTTCTTAATGCAGGTATCGTAACAACTTTCTGTGTGTTTAAGGCTGGCTTCATGACGTCACCCTGACGTACGCAAGTGGATTTCATGTTGGGGGTAATGAGAGGTCCCGTCCATGTTTCGCATATGTTCGGATTCTGTTGAAACGAATCAGTCACTTGTACATTTTATCAAGTTGATTCTTTCGTTTGTTGTCTGTCCCCCTTCTGTGACTGTATCTGTCTGTTCCCTGTCAGTGCCTGGCTCCTTCCCTCTGTGGTCCCCCTCATTGGATGTATCGATCTCTCTGTGGTCCCGGTCAGTGTCTGTCCCCATCTGTATTCCCTGTCAGTGCACGTCTCCATCTCTCTGTGGTCCCTGTCAGTGAATGTCTCCATGTCGCTGGGGTCCCTGCCAATGGATGTCTCCGTCTCTCTGTTCTCTGTCAGTGAATGTCTCCATCTCCCTGTGGTCCCTGTCAGTGCATGTCTCCATCTCTCTCTGTTCCCTGTCAGTGCACGTCTCCATCTCTCTGTGGTCCCTGTCAGTGAATGTCTCCATCTCCACGTGGTCCCTGTCAGTGCACGTCTCCACCTTTCTGTGGTCCCTGTCAGTGAATGTCTCCATGTCCACGTAGTCCCTGCCAGTGTACGTCTCCATCTCTCTGTGGTCCCAGTCAGTGGATGTCTCCATGTCCACGTGGTCCCTGTCAGTGCACGTCTCCATCTCTCTGGGGTCCCAGTCAGTGGATGTCTCCATGTCCACGTGGTCCCTGTCAGTGCACGTCTCCATCTCTCTGGGGTCCCTGTCAGTGAATGTCTCCATCTCTCTGGGGTCCCAGTCAGTGGATGTCTCCATGTCCACGTGGTCCCTGTCAGTGGATGTCTCCATCTCTCTGTGGTACCTGTCAGTGAATGTCTCCATCTCCACGTGGTCCCTGTCAGTGCACGTCTCCATCTCTCTGTGGTCCTTGTCAGTGAATGTCTCCTTCTCTCTGTGGTCCCTGTCAGTGCACGTCTCCATCTCTCTGTTCCCTGTCAGTGCACGTCTCCAGCTCTCTATGTTCCCTGTCAGTGCATGTCTCCATCTCTCTCTGTTCCCTGTCAGTGCATGTCTCCATCTCCACGTGGTCCCTGTCAGTGCATGTCTCGAGCTCTCTCTGTTCCCTGTTCTTCATCTCTCTGTTCCCTGTCAGTGCATGTCTCGAGCTCTCTCTGTTCCCTGTTCTTCATCTCTCTGTTCCCTGTCAGTGCATGTCTCCATATCGCTGTTCCCTGTCAGTGCACGTCTCCAGCTCTCTATGTTCCCTGTCAGTGAATGTCTCCATCTCTCTGTTCCCTGTCAGTGAATGTCTCCATCTCCCTGTTCCCTGTCAGTGCATGCCTCCATCTCTCTGTTCCCTGTCAGTGAATGTCTCCATCTCTCTGTTCTCTGTCAGTGAATGCCTCCATCTCTCTGTGGTCCCCGTCAGTGTCTTATTAATTCTCCGTTTCCTGTAAGACCCATGCCTCTTTGTTCGACGTCAAAGTATTCTCATGTAGTTTTTTTTCTCGTTCGGTTTTCCATGTTTCCGTATATCTCTTTGTTTTAGGGTTGTTCGTGCTTTTTGCCGCCCTGCTGTTTCTGCTGATACCTGGATGTAAACTAGGGACATCCGAGGTACAGGCTGAGATCACTATGGCAACACTTGTACACAAAGAACAGGCTATTGTCATAAGCCTTGCGCACGGTCCGTGATGTTTGTTTGTTTGTTGTGTTACACCGCACTCAGCAATATTCCAGCTCTATGGCGGCTGTTTATAAATGGTCGAGTCTGGATCAGACAATCCAGTGACTGACATCATGAGCATCATTCCACGCAATTGGGATATGAAGACAAGCATCAACCAAATCAGCGAGCCTGACCTCCCGATCCAGTTAGTCGCCTCTAACGACAAGCATAGTCGCCTTTTACAGCAAGAATAGGTTGTCGAAGACGAATTAAAACCCGGATATGCACATTTTATTGTCTGCTAGGAAATAATTCACCAGTTCTAATGTTTGTATATTTAAACAGCGTGGAGAGGCCTTCAATGTATATGCTTAAGACACTTTATGTCACATTAAGACATATTGTATTTAATCATATATTAATTCATATATAGTATACTTGTACATGTTTTATTTCTCTTGCTCTTCACATGTAACTCGCTGTGAATAGCTGGAAAGTTGTTCATGCAGGGTAACACAATATTCATTCGTCTGTATCCTTTAACGTGTACCGATACAGATACAGATGGATATATGCTGAAACTTTGACCCAAACCTCATTTACTTAAACCATGAGATACATGTCACGAAAATGTACTAACGGGATCGGTCAGGCTCGCTGACTTGTTTGATGCATGTCATACATCCCAATTGCGTGGATCGATGCTCATGATGTCAATCACTGGATTGTCTGGTCCAGACTCGATTATTTACAGACCGCCGTCATATAGCTGGAATATTGCTGGGTGCGGCGTTAATTGGACGGGTGCGGCGGGGATGCGATGATTGGTCAGCGAGCCTGACCACCCGATCCCGTTAGTCGCCTCTTACGACAAGCATGGGTTGCTGAAGACCAATTCCTTCCCGGAATCTTCACGGAGCGCATTTAGATAATGATCCAATAAGTAGACATTTAATACTTATTAGTCGATATGTAGATCAACCTCAGTCTTTCTCATCTCTAGTTAGTGTCTGTATTTTTGTCCAGTGCTACCGAAGTTTGTACTGGCAACTTTTAACCCCACTAGTAATTCATTGGCCTTTCCAGTCCAGCTGTCTGGCTGGAATGTATATCAATCTTAGTGATTGAGTGAGTTAAATTGTAAGGTCCCATCAGCAATTTTTCAGCCATATACCTGAATCGAAGTGCTTACCGCTTGTCGAAATAACGCTTCACTTGACTGAAAGTATCCACATCACTATGGAAATTGTTTTGTCGTCTTTTTTAACTGACTGACTGTCATGTTTGCAACCTTATCGATTAAAGGTCTTTATGAGCTATCGATTTGGGAGTTGAGTGTGACTTCGTTCAGCTTGCGTCAACATTACAGGCGAGGGTAAGTCTATAGATATGATTGTCCCACAAACACAACCGTAAGGGAGGTGGGGTGGGGGTGGGGAGAGCATGTTTGGAAGTGTAGACTAGATGTTCCCCACTTACTATGGACAGGTTATAGATAGGCCACATGCAACATAGGCAAAGCACTTACGCCGAAACGTGTGTGCGTTTGTCTTATATTGCCGAGTACACTGAGATACCACGCCTCAGTTTTAACATGAACACCCCATTCAGGACATAGTAAACTGACTCCGACCTGACCAATCCTTGTTTTATACCCGTCACTCCAAGGTCCGCCACACGCACACACAAGCCACAAACAAACGACCACCTCACCCATCCACCCCCATCCCATCCACACAGGATAGTTCGAGTTAGGCACGCTGACCCATCGAACAACAGCTAGCGTGATCACTTCTGACTTTATACTCAGTGACATGACTTAACTCACCCCAACCCCTCCCCATCCCCTACCCAACCCCAACCGACCCGTGAAGATTCCGGGGTAGAATAGGTCTTCAGCAACCCATGCTTGCCGTAAAAGGTGACTATGTTTGTCGTAAAAGGCCACTAATGGGACCGGGTGGTCCGGCTCGCTGACTTGGTTGATGCATGTCATCGATCCAAATTGCTAGGATCGATGCTCATGATATTAATCAATGGATTGTCTGGTCCAGACTCGATCATTTACAGACCGCCGTCATATAGCTGGAATATTGCTTAGTGCGGCGTTACACAATAAACCAACAAACCAACCAACCCAACCCCCACCGCCCACCCAGCACCCAAAAAAAGGAAAAAAAAGTGCGTTAGATGATTCCGAAGAAGAAGAACAGTATCCAAAGCCTGATTCTGACGTAGAACCCACTGCATTAACTCCACACGCAATTCCAGATTCAAATCAGACGTCACTGAAGCAAGGAGAAGCAGCATCAACACAAACAGAACCGTACATCCAACAGACCAAAACTATCAATGTTAACCTCAAGAAACAACAAATTTAATCTGATCGAGTACCAAAGCACTTAAAGATTCTGTGCAACTCTGTAACAGATATGGGTTGCTTGAGGATATGGATACGGACGTGTCTGTCCATGTAGGCACTAGTGGTCATTCCAGTGGTCACTCACCCCAAAACAAAGATAGAGCGCTGTCCCCTGTTGCTCCTCCTTATTTACAGACAAAACTCCAATTAAAGTGTTTAAAAAGACCATTTTTAGGAATAACCTTGGACAATAATTTTTCGTTTATATCCTCATATTAAAATGTTAAAGTTATGTGCTTTAAAGCTTTTGATATACTTAAGTCATTGATTCGACCTAAACTTGATTACGACTGTTTCATATATGGGTCAGCGCGTAGTCATACATTTACGACCACCATTCACCATTAAGATCTTAGATTGTGTCTAGGTGCATTTAGAACTTCCCAGGTTGAAAGTCTATATGTTGAAGCTGATGAACCTTGTATTGATATCAGAAGAATAAAACTGGCACTGCAATCCGTTACTAAAGTCTATTCCAATCCATCCAGCCAGCATTTAACACCGTTTTGTATCCTCCTTATCAACCTTCGTATACTATGAAATCGAACTCAAGTCCTCCACTTTCCATCCGTAGTCACGAACATATTACAAATGCAAATTAATGTATTTCTGCAGTTGCTGATTTCAAACTGCCTGAAGTGCCACCGTGGCAGTCAATACAGCCTAACGTCATTTGGAATTAACAAAATTGAAAAAGACAGATACTAACTGCTTACGATACTATCAACAGACCTTCCAAACAATTAGTTACATAAATTCAACATCAATATACACATGTACATGTATACACGCATATACGCCGATGGATAAAGAAAAGGTGGCAACTGCAGCTGTTACACATAATGGTACTTTATCATTACGAGTGTGTGAGTGAGTATGCTTTTACGCCGCTTCTAGCAATATTCCAGCAATATCACGGCGGGGGAACACCAGAAATGGGCTTCACACATTGTACCCATGTCGGGAATCGAACCCGGGTCTTCGGCGTGACGAGCGAACGCTTTAACCACTAGGCTAACCCGACCGGCCCTATCATTACGATTAGCTGATGTTTTACGACAGAGGCAAAGTCTATTCTACTCGCCTTGCAACTTATTGAAGAAGAAGAAGTTTATTCATGAACGAAGGCCATATGGCCTAGAGTTCATTTACAGGAATAATGTATACATTATAATATTTTTTCTCACAACAAATGTTGATCTTTTTGACATTTGTATTTACATGGGTAAATGTCTTTTTTTGATAACACAATCATTTCTGGTAGATAGAAGACTGATAACTTTTGGGACAGATGGTTGCACATGGTAACATTTTGGAATTAAATTTTCTCCACTACTTTTATAAAAAGGACAAATTAACAAAAAAACTGTATTCATTTTCTATTTCATAGCGGTTACATTTCGTACATAAACTAAACGAGGACTCTGTGGTTGTATTAAATCGGGTTTCTGTACATTTATTTTACGCTCTAAGGAGAGTGGTTTCATCATGTTTGCTGAAGTTTATCCTGTTTACAGTCAATACACAACCGTAAAACTGACTACTCCTTTATAGCTGAAATTTTGAAATGTCATTTGAATTTGTCCTTGGTTAATAAAGACATAATCTTTTGTTGGCTTTCCAGTCACGTTGGCATAAGAGGAAATTCTAAAGCAGATTCATTCTGCGGCTAAAGTTCCACTTAAGAAATCAGTACCAAGAGGTACTTTTCCATATACTGACCTGCTATTTGCCAATATGTTGGAAATGTTTTGCAGCAAAGGTGGAATAACCAAGTATTTAATAAGCTTCATGCAATACAACCCTTGATTGGGTATCATGCCTTTGCTGTTTAAAGTCGACCGCCGTCTTACAGCTGGAATATTGCTGAGTGCGGCGTAAAACAACAAACCAAGCAACCAACCAACTGATTGAAGCCGTCGGGATGAAGTTGTGATCCATTGGACACAGTCATTTTACTCATTCTGTTTTATTAAAGTGCGAGGACACATCCTAAAAGGTTTTGTCGCTGTTATTTGTCTTGTTGAGTAACTCCGGTGGATGTCATTGGTAAACTAGTTCGGGTGGGGGATAACGTTTCTATAGCCAAATGTGTACACGTTATGCACCCACCTGTAAATAACCTTTACACGCATTGTTTTAAATCAATACATATTAGTATCTTGACATAATCGAAGGTTGACCGTAAGGTCAAAACGGCCAGGCAATAGAACGCAATTTTCCACAATCGGACAGAAACATTTTTGCCCCCTCCCACAACTTCCCATCTATTTTTCGTTGGACCCAGAAGTCTATCAACTAGATTACCAGGTAACTCTTCAATATTTACAGCCGCATCAAAGGCCATTTTAACCAAAAAAATTAAACAATCTTAACATCAGCAATTCATTATTTTTTCAGACTCTCTGTCCTGTCTTCATGCTATTAAAATAATTCGTGTCAGCATCAATTTTACTTGATATAATTGAACTTCATTATGTTACCAGCCAATACGAAATCGTCTTCTGTTGGTTGCCCAGCCAAGTTGGAATCGTTGCCGCAAAAGCAGCCCTCAAAAAATATGTGACACCACTTCTGATACCATACAGTGATTATAAGCCAGTCATTGGATGTTACACCCGAGATCTAACGCAAAAGAAGTGGGACACCTAGGTGGGTATCAATAAGTTACATGAAATTAAACCAACTATCTGTTATACCCGCTTATCAGTCCATATTTGAAGACGTCATTATGCGACGATGTCGTATTTGTCATACTATATATACACAAGAATATTTATAAAAAGGTGAAGATCCTCCATTTTGTATCCCCTGTGATGAGAGTCACCGTCAAGCATGTCCTGCTTGACTGTTTGGATTTTCCCTTCACAAGGGATAAATATTTCAAAGTGTCATATATAAAGGATCTTTTTCATTTAAAAAATGGTCATTTAATCATCGGTTTTTTTTCAAAGAAATAGAATTTATTTTTTTTTAATGTAGAAAATTATATCTTTTATATATTGGTAGTACGTAATTATTAACTGAGATTGTTACTAACTGTGCCCTTGATGGCGATTGAAGAAGCGTAAAATTATTGTCCCCCTGAGAGGGTCTGTAAGCCAACGTCATTCAGGGTATTATTATGTATACCAGTGTTTTAATTTAGAATATTTGTTTGTTTTAATCTCCGGCTAAACCATGTCAATAATCACCAGTGACTAAAGGTAAGGTGTAAATCCTGCTGGGTCCATGCAGGTAGCAAAGTACTGTACGTCCCCCATGATCCCCAGTATGGTGGCCTCATGATCACTTCAGTTGCTGGTGATCTTTTGCCCAATTTTATATTGCATTGTTAGGAATAGTCACATTTTATGGTTACATACTAGTTTTAAACCTAGATCTGAGATAATCTAGTTCTTTTACTGTCCCTTGTCAATAGGTTTTATTCTAATGATTAGTCACGATATGGCTGAAATAATGCCGATGGGACGTAAACGTTTACCTCATTCACTCTCCTACTCTCTCTGTCTCTCTCACTCTCTCTCCGCTACTAATATCTACCACTGGATTTCTGAAAGTATTCTTTGGCAGCGATGTCTTGAAGAAGTGACAAACAAACATAACCTCCTGACCGACACCTGCCCAAACTCGACTCGTACGACGATAGATAAGACTTTTACCTTCGTGTGGTATGCTTCAGGCAGAGGTCAAACTACTACTTACTGATAACGTTGTTTTATCATTGTTTTTTACAGGATCAACTTCGCACAGGTAGGATTTCGTGAATCAATATTCATAACAATCAGTTGATTCATTGTTCAGCCTCTGGCTTAGTTGTTGAGGCAAATAAATTTCAAGTAGTATGAGGGATATTAAACTAACACATGTGACCTGGATTTGTTTACATACCAATGCAATTCCCTATTTTGACTTGTACCATATGTGAACATTTGACTTGCCATTGAATGTCTATGTGATATTAGCCACTAGTGGGGCAGTATACGCTCAACTTTTCGCGAACACCTAGTTATGAATGTATGATTATATATTGTCTGGTTCTAGTTGTTACCAGTTTTCAAACTATTGACGTTTAAAGCAGACTATGGAATTAATACGATATTGTTTCAACATCACATCTGAAATATTTTAACCATTAGACTATACCGTATGCTGTTTCTGATCTATCCGTTGTTCGTATATCTGCCAATCCTCATGAGCATGATTGTATGATAAGGAATATGGTGATATCCACAGGTTATACGATATTGACAAATGAGTCAACGATTGCAAGAAACGTTTGAACCGGTAATATACGAATGGATAAGTGAGTGTATGTTGTTTTATGCCTAAGCCATGGCGGAGCTACTTAACGTAGCTGCCGCCAAAGATGATAATAGACAAATCAGTGGTCAAAGGAAGGCTGGAAGAAGTTTGCTTTTACACAAATGTTGTAATATGTACACATTTATAGAACATACTTGTGTCGGAAGTTTAATACACGTAGACAGAATTATCCGAAATATGACCAGAGGTTCACAAATAGATACACAGAGAGCCCAATGTATATGCCGTTTTGTATGTTCTGTATATGAGTGAGTGAGTGAGTATGGTTTTACGCCGCTTTGAGCAATATTCCAGCAATATCACGGCGCCCCTTATGTATATGAACTGTATGGTAATTTATACTCTTGTACCACTGATAGTGGTTGTTCTTTTGGAATAAGCAGAATCCTATTGTTTGCTTGTTATTTAACGCCGCACTCAGTAATATTCCAGCTATGTGTCGGCGGTCTGTCAATAATCGAGTAAGGACCAGCCAACCCAGTGATTAATATCCTGAGCATCGATCCACGCAATTGGGATACGATGACATGCATCAACCATGTCAGCGAGCCTGACCACCCGATCCCGTTTGTAGCCTTTTACGGCAAGCATAGGTTGCTGGAGACCTATTCTACCCCGGATCTTCGCGGGTCCAGTGAGTGAGTGAGTGAGTGAGTGAGTTAAGATTTAACGTCACATCAGCAGTATTTCAGCCATATCGTGACGAGAAGTACATTAATAATACATAGATTTAGACGAAATAAAAAGCTATCAACGAAGGACAGTACAATAACTAGGGTCGCGGGTCCAGAATCCTATTGAGAATAATCTGAGCAATGATAGATGCCGAAGGGCATGATTACACAGAATCAGACAGGTCGCACATTGTTACCATCCGATCTTCAGTTCTACATCTGGTATCAATTGGAAGACCAAACTGTTAACATATTAACATTAGGTCAGGGTTTGGTCTCAATCCGCGGCGGCCAATCATGCTAGCCTCAAAAATGGTCTCAAACATTGGGATACCCAACTGCAATTCCTGTTGGCATCCAGTCGGAATTCTGTCTCACTCCGGGGGCACCTTACCGATACTGTCAGCACCTGGTCTCAATGAGGGAGACCCTGCCGCAATGGTGGTTGCATCCGGTCGGGATCTGGTTGCATTCCACGTTACCCAACAGCCACAATGTCAACATCAAATAGGGATCTGGTCACAATCAAGGGGGATCCTGTCGCCATCATACCGGTATCCAGGCAGTACAGGACCTGGTCGAAATCCAGCTTATCCTGATGCAATATTGTCATCATCCAGTTGACACCCGCTACAGATCTGGTGGGCAATCGAAGGATTTTTTCTGGTCGCAGTCAGATCTGGACCAATTCCAATCGTGATCAAATTGTGATAGGATCCTAGTAGAATCACCGTGACCGAATACGATCAGATTGTGCTAAATATAGCGAACTGGTTCCTGGTAGTTCGTTATATCCAGGACCGCCTCCGTGGTCTAGTGGTTGAGCGTCCGCCCGGAGACCGGAAGGTCCGGGGTTCGATCCCCGACTGCGTCATACCAGAAGACGTTAAAAGATGGTACTTGTTGTTACCCTGTCTGGCGCTCGGCGTTAAGGGGCTAAAACAAGGACTGGTCGGCTCGGAGTCAGTATACTGTGTCTGAGTGGGATATTCATATTAAACTTCGGCATGGTATCTCAGTGGGCTAGCACTATAAATTGGCATCAGTCCGGACTAGTACAAGCAGCCACACAAACACACACACGTGCAAGCACGTCGCTGTATAAGCGCAATTATCTTGGACGCGACGTTAAACCCCATTTCACCTCACCGTTATATCCAGGTTCTGCTGTATGTAGTATTATCTTCATCTTATGTCATGCTGGTCATTCTTTCAGGATGTGGTCTACCTTGCTTCTCGTGGCTGGCCTCTTCCTATGTGCTGAATCAGCTAAGTATGTCCCCTATATTCCAGTAAATGTTCTGTACACATTGACACTAATACCATAACTAATGTAGTGCTGGTCATGTATGTATGAAGTTTCATAAAATATTTCTATAAAGGAACTATCGAGTATTAAAGAAGACGCACGTCAAGGGGATGAGCATTGGCTGCTAGAGCCATATATGTTCTGGGGTCTGGAAAAGATACTGTGTATTTTAGTAGACAACTTAGTCTTCATCGAGCCTGCAAGCTTGCGTGGTTAGCGGCACCGTCCTATACTGCGGTGAGTGAGTTAGGGTTCAGCAATATTCAGCAATATCATGGCGAATGGATATGGGCTTAGCGTTGTTCATATGTGGTGCATCAAACCTGGGTCTTCGGCGTGACGAGCAGAAACTTAAACCACTATGCTACCCCATCGAACCTTCTTCATGGTAGATAGTCTCACATTTAAACAATTATGCACAAAACCAGATGCACGTCGTAAGACAATAACCTTCTCTTTTAAATACAGTGTCTACCAATTTTCAACATTGATGTAAATCACGTTAATATACTCTCTAGAAAAGTTAGGGATCATGAAATTTAAATCTTTATACTAAGTATAAAAACAAACTGTGACGGCACCTGGTCCTGTGCAGTGGAGGCACGTGGTCCTGTGCATAGTGCAAAGGTCACAAATCAGGTGTAGGTAAGCAACTGAGATTCCTCAGATGGGTGACCATGTTCGGTAGCTTGGCTCCTGGGAGTTCCTAGGGCTTCGGTCCTGCCCCACACTGAAGGACATGCAACACATGTGGTCTCTTTGGGCAAGTGATTGTGTTCGAAATGTGTCTCTGTTCACCCAGTATGCCCCCGTGGTGTGGGTATAGCGCAGTATTAATAGGCCTATTATTATTACAAAGATAAGTGTTGAGGACAAACATGGTATGCAAGAACGTTAAGTCTGTTAAACAAAACACCAAAATACATCCTAGAGTTTCACACGTGCGTAGGGTGTCATTCCTGATTTTGACACTTTCAAGGAAGGTGGATTTATCTCTGTGAACCATTATGATTGTGATATACTTGTGATTTAGTTGCGATTTCATTCAGTGTTTGTGTATGAAGTAGCGATGCGCCTATTGGCATGTTGGAAACTGGCAGAAGTCAGCGTGCAGTTGCCATTAAGCTGACTGTTTCACAGTCTGTGATTAGCAGACTATAGAACAGGTATGAACAAACCCAAAATATTGACGATCGACCCCGTTCAGGGCGTCCCAGGTCATTATTATCATACAACTCTTCCAAAGAAACTAATATTTCTCACAATTTTGTAAATTTAAGTTATTCCCGGGCAGCCCATACTTTGTTTTAGAGTATACATACTTTCAATTGGGGTTTGGATTTCGATTCAGTTACAAGGTAACGCATGGTTTTCATAAGTTACAAAGCCAGATAATATTAAATAGAGAACGACTTGTATCTTTTCAAACCTATGCCTGCAAAGCCATAGCATAGTGTTGATTGGTATTTTTAAGTGAGAAACACAATTAGCACATTTTTTATCCATCAACCCCTCCTTCCCCTTCTCACACTCGCTTAGTTGATGCATGTCATCGTATCCCTATTGCGTGGATCGATGCTCATGATATCAACCACTGGATTGTCTGGTCCAGACTCGATTGTTTACAGACCGCCGTCATATAGCTTGAAAATTGCTGAATGCAGCGTTAAACAACAAACAAACAAACCTTCACTCTCAGTCGACTATCACTCGTGAACAACACAAACTGTCAAGGAAATATAGGATAATGAAAAGGTGAACCTAACCTGAATAAGATAATTACAAATGTTCAGCATCAGATGGTTAGATATATTTGTTTGTCAGTTTCATGTCCTCAACATTCAATTTCTCTTTCGGGAAGAAGGATAACACCACAGGTGGAGTTGGCGTGACGTGTTGTGTATACAGTAAACTATGGTTAAAACCAACTCGAAGGTACAACTAATTTTAGTTCGTAATAACCGTAGTTCGTTATAAGCATATATACAAAATTTATACAACAAATGGTCGGGACTAAAAACTAAGTTCGTTATATCGGTCAGTTCGTTATAAGCGTGTTCGTTATAAACGTAGTTACTGTATGGCACATTGATAACATGCCATGTGGGGATTATTGGTTGGAACAGATCCCTAGAATTTTTTTGGGGGGGGTGGTTTGGTTTGTTGTTTAACGCCGAACTCAGCAATATTTCAGCTATATGACAGCGGTCTGTAAATAATCGAGTCTGGACCAGACAATCCAGTGATTAATATCATGAGCATCGATCCGCGCAATTGGGATCGATGACATGCATCGACCAAGTCAGCGAGTCTGACCACCCGATCCCGTTAGTCGCCTTTTACGACAAGCATAGTCACTTTTTACGGCAAGCATTGGTTGCTGAAGACGTATTCTACCCCGGATCATCACGGGTCTGGAGATCCCTAGAAAGCAATGCTGGTCGTACGAGGCGATGGACTGAATTGTATCCCGACGGCGTGCGTGAATCGTTGTTCATGATATCAGTAACTGTTTTGTTTGGTATGGACTCGATTGGTTACAAACTGCCGTGATATAGCTGGAACATAGGTAAGTGCAGCGCAAACATTAAATTAACATTCAAACATTGATAGAGTGTATTTTTATTTTGTACAGACACACCACAACGACAACGCCCTTGTCGACGACACTGAGTCTGAGTGACTTTTTCAGGATGGTGTTCCACAGTGAGGACTTCAACAAAGATGGCGTGCAATCCCTGTTGGAGTTTGAGCGGCTGTGGCATCTGGCTGACGCGGATGGTAAACCCCAAGGGGCGGGGATGTTGTGAGGGCCCTGTGTTGAACTGGCTGACATTGTCTTCTTTCTTTCTTACACCTTTTGGAGTTTTGAAATGACCATGTAGATGCATATTGGTCAAAATGAATTCCGATGAGTTGTTCTAACGTCACGAGAAAATGTAACTTTGATTTAATCCGTGACCCATGCTGTTTTTCAGTATATTTTAAATGTCTTATCTACATGTCCTGAGAAAAGCAGCTTGGGTTAAGGATTTTTTCAGGTTGAAAACCTAAAATATCGTGGTAGGATAGGTACGGAAGCGTAATGGGGCCACGGTGAAATTTCTTTTTGTCTTAGTATCAACTAAGTAGGACTTAGTATCTCCTACGTAGGATTTAGTATAGTCTAGAATTATTATCTCCTACTTAGGACTTACGTAGGAGATAGTAAGTCCTACGTAGGAGATATTAAGTCTTACGTAGGAGATATTAAGTCCTAAGTAGAAGATACAAAATCCTACGTAGGAGAACTTTAGACAAAAAAGATTTTCACCGTGGCCCTACTACGCTTCCGTAGATAGGTCTTCAGAAACCCAGAGCTGATAGTTTGCAGTTCACGTTTATAAATTCATTTGTACTCTGTGAGGTTAATTCCGAGTTGACCTCATTCACCTCATTCAGGAGGGCTTCTCTGAATCTTGGCCCGTAGTTAGTCTCAACATCATTTGAACACACAGGTGACGTCGCATGACACAAGACCCGTGAAGATCCGGGGTAAAATAGGTCTTCAGAAACCCATGCTTGCCGTAAAAGGCGACTATGCTTGTCGTAAGAGGCGACAAACGGGATCGGGTGGTCAGGCTCGCTGACTTGGTTGATGCATGTCGAATCCCAATTGCGTGGATCGATGCTCATGGTGTCAATCACTTGATTGTCTGGTCCAGACTCGATTATCTACTGACCGCCATCATATAGCTGGAATATAACTGAGTGTGGCGTTAAACAACAAACAAACAAACGAACATTTTACAAAGAATACATTCTTTTGCAAAACTTGAAGATTCATGTTCTCGAAATGGTGGCGGCGAATGATAAAGGTGTACAGCAGAAGCAATGGTCAGCAGTGTAAAGTGAATATCAATGCCATACTAGAATAGCCAGTATTCGCTGTCTCTGTGCAGCGTTACGTCCCGACTTCCCATCAGTGGGTAAACGAGCCGATTTTTAGTCCGGAGTAATGTAAATACAATAAGCTACTTCTCAGCATTGGTGGCGTAAAATATGTTTCCAAATTGGCATATGCTATGTGCGCCTCGACACAAATGGTATTATCACTGCCAAGAGCATGTAGCGCCATAATCTCTAGCACTGGCGGTATGATTATTAACAGACCGCAGTAATTTAGCTCAAATCAAATTTAAGCAACAAGAACAAAAACAAACTAATATGTCATTTTATCATCCATCCATTATGAAACACCTGTGTTGCTGATATAGTTGCATTCAAAGGGTTTTTTTCCCTTGGTTCAAGGTGATGGTTCCGTGCCCTTGACAGAGTACACTAACGCAGCACACTTCTCAAAGTTCATCGGCAGAGAGGTGTATAAATACCTGGACCATGATCACAATGGCGTCATCAATCTGCAAGAAGTGCCCAGGCTATTTATGGAGTTTGACACAAACTGTATGTATTTGAATCGGTTTCTGTCTTTCAAATTTAAATGTTCAGATGTTCAAGCTGTAAAAAAGGAAATGTGTTGTGTTGCGTAGTTTTAAAACCGCGATTCATTGGGATGTTCCTTTGATTGTAGGTTCCAATCTCATATTCACACAGGTATGATTCTTGGTTTATCAGTGCCTGTGTTTACAGTCACATCAATGTTGTAAACGTCTAAGGGCCATGTCACGTTAGGCTTTCCAACCACTTTAGACCGATCGCGACACTTTGAGATAACTGAAACCTTTTTTCAAAGCGGCGTTAAAACATCTTACTCACTTGAAGGCTGTGATCATCTTATATTATTGATAATTGAATTAATTTTTATAATGATGATATGGTAAACTGAACCGTCCTTTAACAATGTACACAAAAAGATACCTCTCATGACAGAGTTGGGTCGCATCATGCCGTTTCACTACTTTTTGTGGTGAAATCACACGTCAAATTGTCACTTCTGTTCAATCTATCTACCTACCATGACGTTCAACATTATGTTATACACATAAATTACAATTTTGATTGGATGTAAATCAATTTAAAAGAATTCATTGTTTTTTGAAAGCATCAGAGGTCACACTGCAGCCCAAATAAAAACCGGTACACTTTACATCTTCAAAGAAAAGAGGAGATTGGGTTATGTGATAAATAAGATGATGACCGTTACTTTTGTATTGATTATTCCTATGTATCCTCAAGTATTGAAATCAACAGTTTTCGTCTCGTGAAAGAACCGCATAGAAGTCAAAAACGGATTTACAGATTAAAGATCAAAATGTACCAAATGTAAAGTACAGTTTAGGCATCTGCAGGGCATAATGGCCATGCTTAGAAGAAATCTGCAGTTCTTTATGAAATAACTAAAATATTCATACAATATACCAGTAACAACCTGTGGGAATTCTGGGTAAAAATATAGGTTCCCAACATCCCCTCGGTAGCTTCTTTGATTCCACGTCACCATATCCCAACTGAGTGGACTGTTCCTCAAGATGTCAATCACTGGATCCAGAGTCAAGTCGAGACAGGCCGTCGACATACAGCTTGAATATTTCTGAGTGAGGCGTTAAACAAAACTCAAACAAGCAAACAAACAAATATGTGACAATATTAAACATTTACTCAAATAGTATGTCCAAAGTGGGAAGGTTATATGCATACAAATATTGTTATTTTCAGTGGATGGCTGGATTACTGAGCAAGAATTTGTCGACGAAAACCTCAGGGTTCGTATATAAACTAATCACAAACTATCCGCGTATTATTGTTGATGTTGTTGTTTATGTAAACGTTTGAACCGTTTTGGTCAATGAACATATGTATTTCATTAGTAACGTTATTGATATATGTTTCTCTGTACTTCCAGATATATAATTTCGTCGCTAAAGACATCGGTCCCGACAAAAAATAATAAATGATGAGCTCTAAGAACCTTTGTTGATTCAATGAGCGTTCTGTTGGTACACACCGCCCCCGTCTTCAAGTTGATATTGCGTGTGCCTGGAGAGCGGAAAGTAATGAAAAAGATGGTACTTGTTGTTACCTTTCCTGGTGCTGGGCACTAAGGCAATAAAACAAGGCCTGGTTGTCTGCAGTGGGAATCAGTATGGTGTGTTAGTGGATTGTCCATGTTGAACTGTGACATGGAATCTCCGAGGGCTAGCACTAAAGAAACGGGATAAGAACGACCTAGTACAAGCACACACGCACACGCACACACACTCACACGCGCACATGCACGCTCACACGAACAAAAACACACGCCGCGCATGCATGCACGTCGTTATATAAGTGCAGACTCGTGACGATCAGGGTAAGAATAGGTCTTCAGCAACCCCTGTTTGCCATAACAGGCGACTATGCTTGTCGATAGAACATTATCAAAAGCTTTCCTAACACTGCAAACACGAAAACGTCGTTTTTTTCCGTATATGGTCATTGGACGGAAAAACGACGTTATTTGGACGCGTTTAAACCATCGTTTTTCCGTCCAAATAAGGTCGTTATTTGACATCGGAATTTACTGGGAGAGAAGGATATCATCAAGCTCCACCCTTTCTTGATTGACATTCTCAATCAAGAAACAGCGTCTACCGGTATTCCTACTTCTCAGATTTCATTGGTCACTTCTCGCGTGTTAGATTACAGGCCCGAGTTTGACGCTGTACTCGAAGCGCTTAGTGGAAGTACTGAAATCAATCGTTCTGCGCATGCGGATTGCTCAATGCCTTGTAAAAAATTTCAGTTCTGTGCATGCGCGATTTCGCGTTTTGTTTCCACTATGTCACCTTTATTTGACAATGATTCATAAACACAGTCTCGTGATAAGTTCGGAATCGTACAATGTCGCTTAAATTTATGGCACGTACTTGATCGGCACGCGTTTCCCATTAACTAATACAATGATAACGGTAATAATTTTAGTCAAAATAATTAGGAAAGCGCAAGACTCAGGAACGTCTGAAAATAGGAAAAGGATTAATTATATACTTTCGAAAGTTATATAATCGTCAAATACGCAAACGAATATCTACCCGCTTTTAAAACTTATTTTTGTAGAAGGTGATCTTGGTGTATATTGCCAGATATTATATGCATATACATTTTTCCGATATTGCATATTTTAATGTTTATTAATACTTTAAGGTTCGTCCGACTAATTGACGGGATTCCACTTTCTCATTTGTACATGACACTTAAGCAGTGTCCTGTTACTGTAAACAGATTAGTTTCAAATTCCAAACTGGTGATGTCTATTCAGGCTAATGCTTAGTCTCTAAAACTGTATAGTTTTGAAAGAAACAAGTAATTCCATTTAAATTGAAGAGGAGCCCCAGTTATATGGGAGATTCCGAGATGAAACTATTTTATGGATATCTTAGCTGCCACCCAAACCGATCCAAACGGGACCCGAAAGCTTATTGTATGCCATATAGTCACATGGAAGTGCACCAGAATTATACATTGTATTCCGGACGATTGTGTTCTTTCATTTACTTTTATGTCAGGAAAAAAGACTTAAAAGGAGAGTTGTTGAATTTAATTATTAGATGTTGTCTATGCACTAATCTGGACGTACTACTCATTGCTCTATTTATGTCATCCTTTATAATATATATATATATATCAGATATACATTAACGCATGTTACCGTTCTAAAGTCATACTCTCATATAACCTTATAGTGTTCATAGTATCAAAGTTTAATCAACAATATCAAGAGCAGCAATTTAAACTACTGAAACACCCAAAAACAAGGCTGTTATCAAGCGCTAGTGCAGACGTGGTGCATCGTAAAATCTGTATCGTTTCTTGCAACATTTATACTACGAGATAGTAAACTTAACGCTTACTCACCGGTGGAACGTAGACAATAACGCTAATACAGATATAACGTATTTGAATGTTAATACTAAAGACAAACACTCATTATTTTTGCAGTGGCGATATAACACTTATACAGGTTTATTGGCGACTTTCATCAGTTTTGCTATTCATTTTAAAAACTTTGTTTTCACATATACAAGTAGCAATACCCGACAAGCATGTCATACATACCTATGGGGCAGTTTTCAATCTTGTACAGACTTACTCTGGTGTTCCTGAGCGAAGCTTATTGGCTTAGGTGTTATACCCCGTTTTTCTGGTAATCCTATTATTACTTCATTTTTATCTAATGACACCCTGTTCTGTGGATCACGGCTCCGTGACTATCCATAACATGTACAATTAAGATGAACATTCAGATCAAGTACATGAATGAGTTTGTTTTGACGCCACAGTCAATCAAAGACCAATGCTGTGCGGTTTGATTACACACTTCTACCAGGTCGAACATCGTGGATCTTTATTTTCTACCTAAGGAGAATCATAGTTGATATGCTAATTCATCTACGAAAACCGTCCCGGTCAAGATAACCTTACTCGTTGTTATATCCATCATCTATTCCCCCCACTCTCACCCCCCCCCCCCCCCCCCCCCCCCTCACCCCCACATACACGCACGCACGCACGCACGCACGCACGCACACACGCACACACACAACGGACCTAAATAACCTGGACAGGAAATACTGCTGATAGCCTCTGGTCAACACCGTCGCGCTACCACAGAATGTTCGTCCTACTCTGAAGGGGCATTCTGTAGAGGGGAATGATCTCGTAACTCTCCATTCCTTAAAAATAATGGAGCAGAGGCCCCGCAGGGGCCGAGGCGCATTATTTTTAAGGAATGGAGAGTAACGAGGATATTCCCCTACTTAAAACTCATCCCTACTTTTACACTTTGACAAAATATTCTGTAGTTGAAAATATTTGAAAAATTCAAATGCTGCTTCAAGATAATGTACAAGCAACTAGTCGACTATACTTGTCGTAAAAGGCGACTAACGGGATCGGGTGGTCAGGCTCGCTGACTTGGTTGATGAATGTCATCGTATCCCAATTGCGTGGATCGATGCTCATGATGTCAATCACTGGATTGTCTGGTCCAGACTCGATTATTTACAGACCGCTGTGATATAGCTGGAATATTGCTGAGTGCGGCGTTAAACAACAAACAGACCAGGCCAGCAGTTAGACGTATCAACGTATAATCGTAAATTCTCCTCAGCGTAATGTATATCTTGCACGTGTGTAAACAGGGTGTATTTGGTAACTTGAGTAGGAAGCACAAATGCACGAAGGGATGTTATTTCAGATGACAAATGAAAGAAGACAGAATGATTGTCACACACACACACACACACACACACACACACACACACACACAGAGGGGAGTTACCAATCCCTGAATTGAGAAGACTTGCATTACGAAGCTCCTTCAAGTCGTTATCACCTTCTCTCGACTCTCACCTTCTGACCAGCTGAACGTCTTAGTGCATTAATACTATTCTGATGCCATTGTAAAATTCCAGGCTGCCCTTCTTTCTGTGATGTTTTGACGGATGCAATCTATTGCGTTATAATACCCTCTGTTTGCTGATATTTAATATGTACATATTGTAAAATATGTACGATATTTTAAACGTGTAATTCGATGCATGCAATGCAATGTGAACATGAGTGCGGATGCATGAAGGCGGGTATAGTTATAGTCCGATGGATGTAGGGGAATGGTAGGAGGGTGTATGTATGTAAGCACGAATACCGATACATGAAGGCTGATATAGTTATAGTTCTTACTTACTGGTATACTTCCCAAGCACTTGGGAATGAGAGCGACAAAACCATACCTCACATTTATATCTAGCATTGATTGCAGTATGTGGCATTGCCGCCAAGCCTCTACATAATAGTAGTGATGGTCCTATCGTACAGGAGATTTTCTGAATTTTGAATAATACGCATCAAAGCACTGGAATGCTGTTTTATCTGTATTATCATTACATTATGCTCAATCATGCCTATACTCACACACACAGGCACACACACACACACATACACACACGCAATCACATGCTATCACACACGCTCAGATACATAGACGCACACACAGGCACACACACACTCACACACACAGACACATGCAATCACACACGCTCACACGAATACCGATACATGAAGGCTGATATAGTTATAGTTCTTACTTACTGGTATACTTCCCAAGCACTTGGGCAGTCACACAATGCCATACGACATTGAGTTGAAAGAAAAGACAACTAACTTTTAATCTTCAGCTAAATGACCGCCTCCTTCATGTACTGGCTTGGGGGAGAAGCCGGTGGTTCGATGCCCCGACCGCGTCACAGTAACATTACGTTAAAAGATGGTACTTCTTGTTACCCTGCCTGGTGCTCGGCAGTAAGGAGATAACACAAGGACTGGTGGGCTCGGAATCTGTATATTGTGTCTGATTTGGGTAGCCATGCTACTGCACTGTGATGATGTATGAGAAGTAATGCTATTTCCTTGGCACAGAGCATGAATCTTGTGCGACGGTTCCATTTACGATAATTAATGCAGACACGTTGTTTCAAGTCACTTTTGCATACCAGGACAACAGGTGAGGACCATGGACTAGCACATGGACTGATAACTGATGACTGCAACATCTCATTCATGGAGGTCCTTGACCTTCCCCCTAGCATCTTCACCTGAAACCCTTTTGCCGCATCACTACCTCATACATTCACACGTACCAGGTATACACAATATATATATATATTCTATTTTTCATGGATATTCGAGTTTTAAAAATAGGATTTAACACTTTCTTTATTTTCTATAGGGGTTACTTTATAAATTATGAATAATTCTTAACTCTATTTCGAGCAAATATTATGATTTATATGTGTTTCCCCTATCGTCGTACATAAACGTTCCTGCTTTGTTTACCTTAGTAATTCTGTTGATGTAATACATATAACCTCCTTTTATATCCGGCAATTGTCATCATTGTCAATGTAATAGTCTACGATACCGAGAGTTTGGGGCGTAAATGCGACCTTTTACAAGTGGCAACATTTGAAATATATATAGCGAATACAGATCAGTCTGGGTATCAGTTCCCACAACTGTGTTTGTAGACCTCTGCGACATGGGGTCTTTCCTGAATATAAGAAAGTTTACTATATTTTGTGGGCGGCTGATAAACTTAGAACCGTTACCTTGAAGAAGTTCATTCCCTAGGTTCCGGTGCTAGCCTTACTACACAACAGGACGGGTGACCGCAGGAACCAGATTTGATGCTTCGTAGACTGAGACATAGAGTAGCCTCCCTTTGATAAAGGGCAATAACTCCTGTCGGCGGTTCGATTGATTGCCGCGAAAGACGATCATCCACAACATGAGAAGACAGTTGTCTTTTTGTCTAAATGATAGTTAGGCTACGGCCTAAAACAAGTTTCAGTTGGAACTATACGATCCTACTGACTAAGCACTGACCATTTGAAGCAATATATTAATCGCCCATTCCAAGAAAACTTGCAATGTTTAGGAACCGTTTGTAGAATTCAAGAATAACTTTATATGATAAATATATTTTAACGCTTGTGAGTTTTGGGATGATAATCACAATATATGTATTTATCTCACAAAAAACCGCTTTATTGCAATGTTAATCCATAATACATTTCGCTAGTAAACAACATCGAACAAACATTTATAACGCATGGTACTTGTCATCCTAAAACAGACTCGCGTGATAACTTATACACAATGTGGGTAATACTTGTTGGGACCCATGTGGAACCCAGCTGGCAAACACCTTCTTCACCAGCTGTTTCACCTGTCCCACTCAAAACCCAAGTGGGGCCCCACTGTACATGCTGGTGTATGTGGCATATATATATGGAGAGAGAGAGGGTGCAAAACTTTAAGCTATCTTCCTTTAAAGGGAGTAACATCTGTACGATGGGTGACCAAGTTGATATGACTCATGCTGCTATCAGACTTACTAAACACATCGTCAAACTCATTCAGAAGAGAGCATATTAGGGTTTCACTCGGGCAGTAAGTATGACACAGATCAAGCAACTTGTATTTTGTTTCGGAAGGTTGAGAGCCACGATGCAGATCTCATCCACAGGGAATAAGCCGTCCAATACAGCAATTTGTTCCCAGTTATTAAGTGCTGTTTTAGATGGAATTGTTACACTGTTAGTGGCAGGCCTAGGTTTAGTGACCTCAAACTTTACACGTGTTGTAAGACTGAAAGACTGTTAAGTACTGTTTAAGAGAAATTAATTTGTAACACCCTTTGTGGACGGGTTAACCTTGCCCCGTGTTGTTAACCGGCTGGACTGAAACCTAAGAACACTGGTCACAAAGGTAAGTGCACCAGCAAGTACGGAGTGTGGGGCACAAATTAAACTCCATAAAATTAATAATCCCCAAAACCTGTTTCACGTTTTTGACCAGTAGCCCAGTGGCTTGACATATCCGACTACTCTTTGTTATATTGTCATATTGGCTCAACCTGATTACATACAGACAGTCGTCATGTAGCTGAAATACATGCACACACACACATACATACACACACACACTCTCACACACACAGACACACACACTCACACACACATACATACACACACACTCAGGCACACACTCACTCACTCTCTGACACACACATACACACACACGCACGCACTCATACACACTCACTCACTCTCTCACATACACACACTCACACACGTCGTAATGTAAGTGTCTTGCCTGTGTTGCATGTGGTTTATCAATAACTGATCCATAGCAAGGGAAGGAAAACTAGTCTACACTTCTGTCATGGACACCCTGCACACCTGTGTCTGGGATTGGGTAGACAGTTCCAGGCTCCGACTATTGGTCGGTGTTCAGCAAGCAGTGCCATTCGACGTCAGTGAGTTAGAGGATGCTTTTTGGACCAAGGTTGTTGACTGACAGAACATCTGAAAATTACAATGGGATTGTTCTTCAAAATTCAAGCAACACCTTCGACTAACCACGGACCCTTGAGCCTGGCATTACAGTATATGTGCGGCTGACGTTAGTTTGTTTGTTTGTTGTTTAAATCCGCACTCAGCAATAGTCCAGCTATATGTCTTGAGACCACACGCCATACCTCATTTGCCACGTCGCCGCAACCACGAGTTTCAGCATGATAACATTGTCCCTCCACCAGTCACCCAGAAACAGTGACCTCATGAACGCATCAAATGCATCATGTGCCTCGTGCAGGATTAGCGTATAAATTTTAAAATCACGTGCAACATGTCGTGATAAGAATAAAGACACTGTGGTAACACTTGACTGATTGTTAGTTTTGCCATATATTTATACACATTGACATCTCTTTTTGACGTAGATACTCCTCTTTATGTTTCTATGGTTCGCGTTTCTGTGGTGAGTATATATTGAATACGAATATGTGTATCAATGTTTATTAGTGTAAACTAGTATCACGTTCTAAAACATATGCTCATGGAGGTTTTGCCTACTAACTAATATTTTGTTGAGATGCTTGAAAAACGTGTCGGCGGTCATTAACATTTAAAAAAAGATTACTTTCTATACATATATTTCAATTCAGCTGCAAGGATGTCCGATAAAGAAGTACATTGTTATAAGAGTTTGTGTATTTCTTGACGTGGTTGATGAATGTCATCGTATCTCAATTGCGTGAATCTATGCTCATGATACCAATCACTGGATTGTCTGGTCCAGCCTCTATTATTTACAAACCACCGTCATATAGCAGGTATATTGCTGAGTGCGGCGTTGAACAACAAACAAAACTTGTCGCAGATCATTCCAACCAATTAACATCACATCTACATCCGATTATCAAAGGTACGGCACACGATGTCAGTGCACTCTGGTATTAACCGCCGTCATTTCATAGATATGCAGCGGCATACAGTTACGGTTGCATTATGATACAGTATGTCAGTATATCCATTTATATGCAACGACCTTTTCAAACGAAAACAAAAAAAAGCATGTAATCTTACATGAGACTAACCACGTGACTATGGACATTGTTTTGTGGTTTCTCACTTCATGATTGTCAGGTTTGCAATTTCATCGCTTGAAGGACTTTGTGGCCTCCCGGCTAGGGAGATTGGTGTGACCTCGTTCAGCTTGCGTCAGGCGAGGGTAAGTCTTAGTGTAGACTAGTTGAATCCCCCCCCCCTCCGGGAGTGACGTGTAATACAGGCAACGCACTGGTACAGCGATGTGCATGCATGTGTCTGTGTGTGTACATTTATGTGCGTGTGTGTCTGTACGTCCTGACATTGCTGTCCCAATATGATCCATGCTGCAGTTTTGACACGAATACCCCTCTCAGACACAGTCTACTGACTCCGAGTCGAACGATCCTTGTTTTTGTTTCCATTTCCTTAACGTCGGATAAGTTCGAGTAAGGCAAGCTGTCTCATCGAACAACAGCTGTTGATCACTACGGACGTTATAGAAGGATTTGACCCCATTAGGCCGGGCTCCGCTACCATGCATGATAGCTGAACTTGAAATTAGGACAAGAGATGTTATTTGTATGTGGTCGCGGACGTGGAGGTACAAGTGGACTGCAGAAAATGAGCTAAACTCCTGTTAAGCGTACCCTAATGGAGCAACCACTGCCCTGCATCCGTCGCCAAGCAACAGGTGCTAACCAATGCAGCAACCCTACCGTTGCCAAGCAACCCATGTTGCTATGGAGCTAGCGATGCAAGGCAAGTACCATTGCCAAATAATGAGCGAGGGCAACTATTGTTGCCAAGCTGACCATCCGCTGTAAAGCGGACACTATACCATCTGCTGTGAAGCAGAATGGATAAATTGGTTCTTGCTGTACAGCGGGCAACCCTGTCCTACATAATTCATAACTTTTGATGCATCCCAAAATGCCAAATGTTACTTGTATACAGTCCACCAGTACCCCGTCCATCTGCAGGGTAAGTTCGAGTTAGGCAAGCTGACCCATGGAAAAAACACCTGGAGTGATCACTTCGGAATTTATTCACAGTTACATGAATTCGAATTAGAGCAGTGTTATTTTAATAATAATCCTAAAAGCGTCAATGCACAGACAATTCTTTTCATTTCAAATTCAGCTTACAAATCTGTCAGGCTTCAGTCACCTTAATTAATGTTTGAGTGTATGTTATCACAGCGGGCGGGTCGATGCATGAGCATGACATACAAAAGGCTTGTTTGAATGCAACGGTGTAAACATGCGTATCAGTGACAATGACAATGACCATGACAATGACAATGACAAATTGTTTATTTTTGTCTCATCGGATATACAGGTCATACACATACATTATTATAAAAGTACACTATAAAGTATATCTGCCACCCACGATGTGGGTTATAAGAGACCATACATAATACATAGTAAAACAAATTGAGTAAAAACATATAAAAAGCATGTAAACATGCATATCAGTTGTCAACTTGGTGTTGATAGTTCAGCATGTGTGTGTGAATATATGTCGATCATAGCACCCGAGTGACGTTTGTATAGACAATATTGTCACATATTTAGCTGGAAAACAGGCTTTGACCCCAAATGATTTTAAAAGTGAAACCTTGTTATTTCGAAATAAAAAGAGATCTGTGGACTTCAAGATGGGAGAGAGGCGTGACATGCGACACGCAAAGACGAGCATTAAAGTTATATGTACATAAGCTGCTATTCAATGCATCAGACATGGTAATATGTACCAGAACATGAGTATGTCATCGCATTCTGACTACGATAGACTAGAAATGTCTAAATGCTTCTGATAACCATATATACCTTATATATCCACTGAGGTCTTAACAACGAGTAGGAAAAATAAGGTTCAGCTACATTGTAAACCGATTAAACTGAATAAAGGATAAACGACAAAGGCAGCTTTGGATGGTTCTTGTGCACGACATTATTGGAGATGAGATTAAGCGTGTCGTCCTTTTATCTCAAGCACAACATATAGTGCCGTACACTGTCGCCAAAACGACCTCTCGGCAGAAAAAAGGGAAAGAAAACAATTCAACGTTGTCCATAATCATGAGTTATGAAGTCATTTGACCAGAAGTCCATTGCACACAAACTCACGATATATTACGATGAACGTTCCTCGCCACATCCGGCTTGTTTCATAAGTGCATAAATAGAGAATCTCACCCGAGTGACTATTGATATCAAATATATCAACAGGAGCTGATAAAAGTAGAAAAGTGGAGATTGTATTTGTCATCAAACATCGTTCTTCCAATCTTTTCAGTTTGTAGACAGTAATAAGCAGTGTCTAAGTGTAAAATGTACTGCTAACAGCTTCAGTAGCAGAGCCATTAGTGATGTCATTTGATTGTGAGGTCATGGCAACAATGACGTCCCAATGGTCTGCAAAGCATTGTGATGCAATTTCATTGCAGCGATATCTACAATGTAGATATTGCTTGATCTCACCCAAGTGATATCTCCTGTGGGAGCCAGTTTTGGATGATGAGTATACGTTACCCATTACCTACTTACATTTCGGTATTAACGGCATTACGTTTTGTTTACCTGATTGGCTCGGATGGTACAACTCATTCCATTTTCAGGATATTTTATTCTAAAGTGAGTGAGTTGAGATTTACACTCACATCGGCAATATTTCAGCCATATCGTGACTTATTCTAAAGGCTGATCATGGTGCAATGTTGGGAATTATAGCTAAAAATGTTTAGAATTATCATTAAAACGCCCGCATGTTATCAGAAATGAGCGGGCCACTGTAACTTGACAATACCCTTATATTGCTTGACCGCGGGGTTTATCACGCCCGTTGGTAGCTGACGTCATATTGATGTTCAATAGTGACGTCATCTGGTTTGTTGTAAAAGTGGATCAGTGACATTCGTTGTGTTTATTTGCAGTAAATGTTTCAAAACCGATATTGTTGTTTATTTTTATTCGATAACAAATTCTATCCATTTTAGCTATAATAACGGTAACGCTATTCTTCAGGGCATTATCATTCGCAGAAGTCCACGGTCTTTTCAACAGCCCTCCTTCATGGGGCAGTTATGGAAGGTCTCGGGCTTCTGTAAATGATAATGCCCTGAAAAATTGCGTTACCCTTTTAATAAAGCATGAGTGATTCGCTACAGTCGGTGATATTCAAGCTTTGTCACGGTAACCTGTAGATAATCAAGACTGGGTCCGTCAGACCAGTCACAAGTTGACAATATCGGCAACGTAACACGCCGTCGGGGTACGATGACACGCAACAGTCTACCAGCCCTACTGCACGATCGCGATCCGATGTACCGCGAGCCTCATCGTTCAACAAGCAACGTATGGGGACTTTTCTAACCGAGGTACACACGATGTAGCCAAGCACGAGATACGAGAGGGTATTTGAGTTTTATTCAGTATAAAGCCCTTTGGCCTTTGCATATAACTCACTGCTTTAGTGTCCTTTGTCGACAGATTTATAACGAATACACTGTTCTCATTGTCATATGGCTGCAGTATTGCCGCAGTGATGTAACCTTTTAACTCGCTCACTCACTTTGCTGAGTTGAAGGTGTTTTGTCAAGGAATCTGTTAACAGTTATGTTAAACGTCTTTTGGGTTTGGCGCGGCCAGGAATCGAACCCACCGACCTTCCGCTCTCCGGGCGGACGCTCTATCTATCAGAAGAAGGAGTAGGGCGACACTCAATCGAAGAGTTAATTGACGGCATTCAGTAAGGTGTGAACATAGGTGTCCGGTACTCCAAACGTCATATAATTAGCTAAATTGAGTCTAGTGAGAACTGCGTCTGCACTTGATGCACTCATAGTGAAATCATAATACAGCATGTCACCATATCCGTTTGTAAACAACGACTCGCTCATAACAAAACAGGATATACAACCTGGCGAAATAACATTTGATCTGAAATGAAACAAACCACGTGACTATGGAAATTGTTTTGTTGTTTTTGTTCACTGTGGGATTGTCACGCACAACTCACTCAAACCAAAACAGAAGCCCCAGCCTGGTGGTGTCGTTGTACTGTAAACATGCAACATAACGCTTACAACGCGAACCTCTTGCTGAAATCAGACAAACCACGTGTCTATGGAGCTTGTTTTGTCGTTTTTATTCACTGCATGATTCGTCATGTATGCAATCTCATCGCTTGAAGGATTTTGTGGCCTCCCGGCAAGGGAGTTTGTTGTGACTTCGTTCAGCTTGCGTCGGCGAGGGTAAGTCTTATTGTATATGCCCTGCAATTGCGGGCTGTGCAGCGGGGCATTAATTGTTAGGAAGTGTAGACTAGTTGTCCCCCCGCCCCCTTTACTATTGAGCAGTCATCTAAGAGTCACATGCAATACTGGCAACGCACTTAAACAACCACGTGCGGACATTGCTCGCCCACTGTGATCCATGCCGCAGTTTTGACCTGAATAGACACTCTCAGACACAGTCTACTAACTCCATTCCCTTAACGCCGGGGTCCCCCCTCACACACACACACACACACACACACACACACACACACACACACACACACACACACACACACACACACACACACACACACACACACACACACACACACACACACACACACACACACAACCACCAATTTCATACTGCTAGTTCTATCATTCCGCAGTTTATTAATGTCCTGCGTCCCGCTGATTTCAACGTATTCAACGGACCAATAAACATTATTCAGGTATATTGTTGATTGTGCCATCACTTTACTCGTGCGTCGATGAAAAGCGCAGCCCGCTACGTATACGTTATTTATGCAGGACACACTGAACACTGGCATCATGAACGCATATGTTATAAAACGTGACCGCCATAGACAAAACCAGCCCGTCTCGTACTGCCGGGATGGCGGGTATTTTTAGAAGACTGCGACATTTCAGTAGCAAACATGTTTCACATGTACCCTTATTGCAAACCCAGTAGCACATATAACCTTATTGCAAAGCCAGTAGCACACATACCTTTATTGCACACCCAGTAGCACATATACCTTTATTGCACACCCAGTAGCACATATACCTTTATTGCACACCCAGTAACACATATATCCTTATTGCAAACCCAGTTTCACATGTACCCTTATTGCAAACCCAGTTTCACATGTACCCGTATTGCAAACCCAGTAGCACATATACCTTTATTGCACACCCAGTAGCACATATACCTTCATTGCACACCCAGTAACACACATACCTTTATTGCACACCCAGTAACACACATACCTTTATTGCAAACCCAGTAGCACATATACCTTTATTGCACACCCAGTAGCACACGTACCTTTATTGCACACCCAGTAGCACATATACCTTCATTGCACACCAAGTAGCACATATACCTTCACTGCACACCAAGTAGCACATATACCCTTATTGTACACCCAGTAGCACATATACCCTTATTGTACACCCAGTAGCACATATATCCTTATTGCACACCCAGTAGCACATATACCTTTATTGCACACCCAGTAGCACATATACCTTTATTGCACACCCAGTAGCACATATATCTTTATTGCACACCCAGTAGCACATATACCGTTATTGCACACCCAGTAGCACATATACCTTTATTGCACACCCAGTAGCACATATACCTTTATTGCAAACCCAGTTTCACATGTACCCTTATTGCAAACACAGTAGCACATATACCCTTATTGCACACCCAGTAGCACATATACCTTTATTTTAAACCCAGTAGCACATATACCTTTATTGCAAACCCAGTAGCACATTTACCTTCATTGCACACTCAGTAACACACATACCTTCATTGCACACCAAGTAGCACACATACCTTTACTGCACACCAAGTAGCACACATACCTTTATTGCACACCAGTAGCACATATACCTTCATTGCACACCCAGTAGCACATATACCTTTATTGCACACCCAGTAACACACATACCTTTATTGCACACCCAGTAGCACATATACCTTCATTGCACACCCAGTAGCACATATACCTTTATTGAACACCCAGTAGCACACATACCTTTATTGCACACCCAGTAGCACATATACCTTTATTGCACACCCAGTAGCACATATACCCTTATTGCACACCCAGTAGCACATATACCTTTATTGCACACCCAGTAGCACATATATCTTTATTGCACACCCAGTAGCACATATACCGTTATTGCACACCCAGTAGCACATATACGTTTATTGCACACCCAGTAGCACATATACCTTTATTGCAAACCCAGTTTCACATGTACCCTTATTGCAAACACAGTAGCACATATACCCTTATTGCACACCCAGTAGCACATATACCCTTATTTTAAACCCAGTAGCACATATACCTTTCTTGCACACCCAGTAGCACATATACCTTTATTGCACACCCAGTAACACATATATCCTTATTGCAAACCCAGTTTCACATGTACCCTTATTGCAAACCCAGTTTCACATGTACCCGTATTGCAAACCCAGTAGCACATATACCTTTATTGCACACCCAGTAGCACATATACCTTCATTGCACACCCAGTAACACACATACCTTTATTGCACACCCAGTAACACACATACCTTTATTGCAAACCCAGTAGCACATATACCTTTATTGCACACCCAGTAGCACACGTACCTTTATTGCACACCCAGTAGCACATATACCTTCATTGCACACCAAGTAGCACATATACCTTCACTGCACACCAAGTAGCACATATACCCTTATTGTACACCCAGTAGCACATATACCCTTATTGTACACCCAGTAGCACATATATCCTTATTGCACACCCAGTAGCACATATACCTTTATTGCACACCCAGTAGCACATATACCTTTATTGCACACCCAGTAGCACATATATCTTTATTGCACACCCAGTAGCACATATACCGTTATTGCACACCCAGTAGCACATATACCTTTATTGCACACCCAGTAGCACATATACCTTTATTGCAAACCCAGTTTCACATGTACCCTTATTGCAAACACAGTAGCACATATACCCTTATTGCACACCCAGTAGCACATATACCCTTATTTTAAACCCAGTAGCACATATACCTTTATTGCAAACCCAGTAGCACATTTACCTTCATTGCACACTCAGTAACACACATACCTTCATTGCACACCAAGTAGCACACATACCTTTACTGCACACCAAGTAGCACACATACCTTTATTGCACACCAGTTGCACAAATACCTTCATTGCACACCCAGTAGCACATATACCTTTATTGCACACCCAGTAACACATATATCCTTATTGCAAACCCAGTTTCACATGTACCCTTATTGCAAACCCAGTTTCACATGTACCCGTATTGCAAACCCAGTAGCACATATACCTTTATTGCACACCCAGTAGCACATATACCTTCATTGCACACCCAGTAACACACATACCTTTATTGCACACCCAGTAACACACATACCTTTATTGCAAACCCAGTAGCACATATACCTTTATTGCACACCCAGTAGCACACGTACCTTTATTGCACACCCAGTAGCACATATACCTTCATTGCACACCAAGTAGCACATATACCTTCACTGCACACCAAGTAGCACATATACCCTTATTGTACACCCAGTAGCACATATACCCTTATTGTACACCCAGTAGCACATATATCCTTATTGCACACCCAGTAGCACATATACCTTTATTGCACACCCAGTAGCACATATACCTTTATTGCACACCCAGTAGCACATATATCTTTATTGCACACCCAGTAGCACATATACCGTTATTGCACACCCAGTAGCACATATACCTTTATTGCACACCCAGTAGCACATATACCTTTATTGCAAACCCAGTTTCACATGTACCCTTATTGCAAACACAGTAGCACATATACCCTTATTGCACACCCAGTAGCACATATACCCTTATTTTAAACCCAGTAGCACATATACCTTTATTGCAAACCCAGTAGCACATTTACCTTCATTGCACACTCAGTAACACACATACCTTCATTGCACACCAAGTAGCACACATACCTTTACTGCACACCAAGTAGCACACATACCTTTATTGCACACCAGTTGCACAAATACCTTCATTGCACACCCAGTAGCACATATACCTTTATTGCACACCCAGTAACACACATATGTTTATTGCACACCCAGTAGCACATATACCTTCATTGCACACATAGTAGCACATATACCTTTATTGAACACCCAGTAGCACACATACCTTTATTGCACACCCAGTAGCACACATACCTTTATTGCACACCCAGTAGCACATATACCCTTATTGCACACCCAGTAGCACATATACCTTTATTGCACACCCAGTAGCACATATATCTTTATTGCACACCCAGTAGCACATATACCGTTATTGCACACCCAGTAGCACATATACCTTTATTGCACACCCAGTAGCACATATACCTTTATTGCAAACCCAGTTTCACATGTACCCTTATTGCAAACACAGTAGCACATATACCCTTATTGCACACCCAGTAGCACATATACCCTTATTTTAAACCCAGTAGCACATATACCTTTCTTGCACACCCAGTAGCACATTTACCTTCATTGCACACTCAGTAACACACATACCTTCATTGCACACCAAGTAGCACACATACCTTTACTGCACACCAAGTAGCACACATACCTTTATTGCAAACCCAGTAGCACATATACCTTTATTGCACACCCAGTAACACACATACCTTTATTGCACACCCAGTAGCACACATACCTTTATTGCACACCCAGTAGCACACATACCTTTATTGCACACCCAGTAGCACACATACCTTCATTGCACACCAAGTAGCACATATACCTTCATTGCACACCAAGTAGCACATATACCCTTATTGTACACCCAGTAGTACATATACCCTTATTGCACACCCAGTTTCACATATATCCTTATTGCAAACCCAGTAGCACACATACCTTTATTGTACACCCAGTAGCACATATATCCTTATTGCAAACCCAGTTTCACATATCCCCTTATTGCACACCCAGTAGCACATATTCCCTTATTGCACTATACCTCGAATTGCATGCATCGATATTGCATACCGTGAAACACCTATAGCCAGCATGTTTTTCCACATCAGATATGAATTCCACCGAGATGCGTGTATACCTACAATGCGTGGCATACCTAGAATCACATGTACCAAATGAAAAAAAGAAAGGCAAATTACTGGCTTGCTGGTATGTGAAGATCCATTTGATCGGCTCTTTATTCCAGAGCATGGTGACAGACAAGGACATTGATGGTGGGTGGGCATGGGTGGTCCTGGCAACCACGTCACTAGGAATGGTTATAGCTGGTACTGTCGCTATAGCAACTGGGTTCCTGCAAGTGGAGTTCCTGGAACATTTTTCTCAGAGTACAGGCTACACCAGTCTCGTCAGTTCCATGTTTCTGTGTCTGGAGCTCGGCATGGGTAAGGTTCTCTACGAGAAATGCGTGAGTGAGTGAGTGAGTGAGTGAGTTGTGTTTAATGCTGCTTTGAGCAATGCTTTAGTGCAACAACTGTGAAAGCAATGGATATGAAGGGGGATAGCTGAGGGTAATCATCAAGGTGATTCCAAGATTCGAGAGCCCTACCAGTGGACCTTGGCTCGGCTCAACTTCCCGAGGCAAGAGAGTTAACTGACTATAAAAGTCCAATTTCCACCCTTGCCGAACGAGCTGGTATTATGGAGTTACAGCAGATATTTTCCCAATCTTTATGTTTTAAATCAAGGTACTCACGTGATTTGGTGCATTTCGCGATGTAAGATGATGTTTTATCACAATATAGATCTTGATTATCGATCAGATCGTCCTGACTCGGCGCCACAATTTTGTGTGAAGCAAACGCAAGTGATACAAGAGGTGGAATCTGATTGGTCCATAGGAGAGGCTTAGAAGGGACATAACTGGTAATAGCCACTGTGGCGCTACGATCGAGCCCAGTAATTCCAGCCTAGTTCGGCAAGGGTGGAAACTGGTCTTTTTAGAGTCAGTTAACTCTCTTGTCTCGGGAAGACGGACTCTGCTCAGAACCACAACTTAGTACAGTGAGTGTTGGTCCTCTGGGCTACATTTGTTTCGTTCTGGATTGATCATTTAATTATTCAGTTGCTGTTGGAGGTGTAGGGATGGGGTGGGAGTGAAAAATAACGACACGTTTTCAGCATTTACAACAAATATTATTCCCTTGACAGGAGGAGTGTCCGACATAATGCCCGCTTCCTTCATTCAGGGAAAAAAATTCTAAAGTCGCTTTGTGTTTTCGTTTTATCAAACTTGAGGGCAAAATATAATTTTCGAGCATTTTCTGAACAAAATGTTCATTTGCTAAAAACAATCCAAGACTCATCCAGGAATATCAAGTGATCGATCCCTTTATTCTGTGCTTTGTACTATTCTGTGTCGACCTAGTAGCGTATATGTTTAATAACACGAATATGGCCGTGTAATGCCGAAGGGTTATGGGTTCTATTTGGTAGTGTCTGCATGGCCGTCTCTGTTGTGTCTTACCCTCATTCTGCATCCTTCCGTCTTCAGATGCTCCTATGCTTCTTACTTCTAGGACCCTTCTCCAGCGTGCTGTGTGACATGTTCAGCATCAGAGTGGCCATGGTGACGGGAGGCGTGCTGATGTCTCTCGGCCTTATCATCGCCAGCTACACCACCGACCTCCTTCACCTCATACTGGCATTTGGGGTTCTCGGAGGTTTACTAAAAAATCATTATTTACCAAATATATACAGCTTACATTGACAACATATCACGGTAATATGAGATTTTGTCAGGACGTGTTCTCATCAAACCTTTACATTCGCGCCATACCATTGCCCAATGTGAGGAGGGGGCACGGGTGGCCAGGTCGACTCATAGGCCGCAATTCGCTGTACAGAGTTGCGTCCCTTGGTCACACGAGAAACCTATGATTGTGGGTTCCAATCCCGGTCCGCCCTGATTATGTTTCTAGATTTGCCAGCACCATACTTGCTCGTTGGTTTCACCGAAGTGGTATACGTCTGAGACCTGCATCACTTCGGGCTTTCCTCCCACATTAAGCTGACATGCCGCGATATAACTGGAATACTGTTAAAGTGACGTTAAACCCAATTCACTCACTCACTCACCCAATGTGAGGTTAACGTTAAAGATAAATGGCTGCGAGCAGCGACACTTTATTGAACCATGATTTGTGAATGATTACATGAAAAAAACCAGTTCACTTTGCAGGACCAGACTAAGCGACATTGTTAAATATACATACATATTTCAAATCTATTCAAACTCAGCCTTTTTTTACCCTTTATGGATTTATCTTATTCTAGTTACCTTGGGTAGGTGTTGGATATAACAATGACATTTAAAATTTACCGTCAAATAAATATAGTTTCATCATTTGGTTCACGTATCCGCCAACTCTAAAAGTGCACACTTTTGGATGAAAATAGAAAAACTGTTCAAAGCCTTTTCTTCATAAATCGGCTCGCCTGATCATCAAACGTCCAAACCCCAAACTGTATCCTGCCTGACCAGGACAAGAGATACATGCTCAGTGACCGTAGATGTCAACGAAGCACTTGTAGGCCCGGAGGCTGCTAATCAAGTAGCTGTGAGATATTAGCCAAAGATAACATATTAAAATATGAAAGGCTTAATTGGGTTCACTGCATTTGTGTCGTTTGCAGGTGCTGGTTTCGGCTTGACATACACACCTCTCAACGTAATACTCGGCCATTATTTCACGGACCGGCAACCCATGGCCAACGGATTCTCACTCGCAGCGTGTGGTTCAGGCTTGGCTTTAGGAGCCTACTTTGTGATATGGTTCATTGATGCTTACGGGTGGCGAATGACTGTGTCAGCATTGGCATGTTGTAGTCTTCAGTTTTGTGTGATCGGATTCTCATACTTCCCAACAAAACGCACCCCAACGACTTTTTGCTGTAAACGTCGTAAACGGACCCGTGTTGAATGTCGTAAACCGGAAACGTGTTTGTGGTTTTTAAAAGATGCAAGATGGTGGATAATGTGCTCGAATTACGGTCTTCTGATGATTGGCTACGCTATTCAAATTGTTCACTTCCCGGCATATGCAGAATCGGTACATGTACCCCATGATCTCCTTCCAGGGCTGTATACTACCTATGGTGTTGTTATAACTATAGCCCGGGTACTGTGTGGAGTTTTGTGTAACGACAACAACGTCGACCTCCAGATGGTGTTTTTCAGTACCCAGGCCTTAGAAGGACTGGTCATCGTATTTATGCCACTGTATGCAAAAGACTATGTTGGTATCATGACATATCAGATACTGGTGTCACTTTTCTACGGAGCAAGCCTGGTTCCGTTAACGCCACTAGTTGTTCGACTGTTTGGTGTTGACAAATTGTCAACAGTGTTCGGCTGGATCATGCTGTGGGGAGGCGCCGGTTCTTTTGCTGGCCCCGTGATTGCAGGTAGGAGAGTTGCTTGTTTGTTTGTTTGTTTGTTTGTTTGATTATTTGTAATATGTACACATTTATAGAACATACTTGTTACGGAAGGTTAATCCACGTAGACAGAATTATCAGAAATATGACCAGATGTTCAAAAAAAACAAAAAACACAGAGAGTCCAATGTATATGCCGTTTTGTATGTTATGTATATGAACTGTATGGTAATTTATACTCTTGTACCACTGATAGTGGTTGTTCTTTTGGAATAAGCAGATTCCTATTATTTGCTTGTTGTTTAACGCCGCACTCAACAATATTCCTGCTATATGACGGCGGTCTGTAAGTAATCGAGTCTAGACCAGACAATCCAGTGATTGACATCATGAGCATCGTTCCACGCAATAGGGATACGATGGCATGCATCGACCAAGTCAGCGAGCATGACCACCCGATCCCGCTAGTCGCCTCTCGCGACAAGCATAGTCGACTTTTACGCCAAGCATGGGTTGCTGAAGACTTATTCTACCCCCGATCTTCACGGGTCGAAAGTTGCTTGACTAAACGCCACAGTAAAAATATTGTAATTTGAAACCTCTAATTGACAACGACCGAGTATGTTCCCAAGGAAGTTGCTTGACTGGAGAACATACTCGGTCGTTGTCAATTCAAGCTTTCAAATTACAATATTTTTTACTGTGGCGTTTACATGATATAAGGCTTTGCCATTGGACGTGAGGCAGGGCACATGGCGGTCACAACACTGACGTTCATAAGCGTATGAACGACACATGTTGAAGTAAATGTATGACAACCCACTGTCAGTGTGACAGATCTACTGACGTTGATTATAACATCGTGTAATTCATATGTTATTCAAACATATCTATTTTGTCCGAACCACAAGGTATACTTGTACTCGACATATCGCTGGCTGTATGACTGTCAGTATAAACATGAAGTCACACGTACCAAATGACATTGTGTCTACAGTCTTCGAGGTACAAAATACGGATTAACAAATTAGAAGAATTGCCTTCCTAGTTCTGAATTTAATACAGTAAGGCCGTCACCAATGAATCGAACGAAAATAAATTCTTTAATATGTGTGGCTCTTATAACAAGAGAATAGTTGATGGTCACTTCACCATGTAGCAATGTGTCCACGTACCTGCTGCATGTTTATATCAACTTCGTGGTCTCTGCGATAGAGCTTCTCCCCGAAGAGTGGAAGGTCGGTGGTTCGATCCCTTTCTTCCTCGTACAAAAACACGTCCAAAGATGCTACTTGTGACCCTTCCTGACGCTCGCATTAAGGGCATAACACAAGGACTGGTCTGCATCAATTCAGAAAATTGTGTCTGGGTAAGGTATCCATGTTAAACTGCAGCAAGGTATAAAGCCGGTGTCCCGGTATAAACTCTCCCCCGTACAAATTCTCCCCCCGGAGAGTTTATACCGGTACAGATTCTCCCCCGGAGAATCTGTTCTGAAATAAAATCTCCCCCGGGCGGATATGTTTCGCGCCCCCCTCAGTATAAAGTCTCCCCCCTGATTATTCGGTTTGTTGCAATGTCTTTCAGTACTATATTCTTTAAATAGTTATCTTTAATGTAAGGAAGGTTACTTTAAAAAATAGATTATGAAATATGGTCATAATGAATTGATATTTCAGCATATTTTATTTGGTAACTGTACCTTCCATCCTAAAATAATTATAAGACATAATCATACCAAACAAATTTGAATGAAATGACTTAATGTAACAAATACATGTACGGTTACTGTTGTAACAGAATTCAGAAATCTTATTAATCCTCGCAAACATTCGGTTTTACCACTAACTACGTAAAAACTGTCAACATATCCACGCGCGCCTCCAGCTCAGGCTGTCCGTTATACTCTGATTTAAGATCTAAAATATATTCCTTAATACAGGCTACGATTTGAAAATGGTATCAATGTAATATCAGTGGCTAGAATGTCATGGTGCAAGCAGGTTTCTGTTAAACATACAACATCATAACTATCTAATTCAGCACTGATAAAATCTACTTTGTCTTTAAGACTGCGTACGTTTAGATATATAATCTTTAAATCTGGACTATGCAAAGGTCCTGGATTCGGATGGATATCACCGCAGCCGAAGAGAAAAAGTAAAACTAGGAATGATAATCGGAAATTAGATAAGCAAAGTAACCCAAAATATAGAGAAATGTGTATCATCTTCCCGAAATGATAAGCATGTAGAATAGATTTTAAAAAAACAACCCAAGCCTGTATTGAATAACATCAACCGGCATCGTCAAAGCAAAGTGTACATGTAATTGTTACAATCGGGCTGGCCGTGAATCTTAATGAAGAACACCTTGTTAAAAAATAAAGTAATCTGAGAAGGGATTCATACGTTATATACAACTTAAAAAAATAATATTATGAAAAACGAAAGGAAAAGTGCCCCCCCCCCCCCCCCCCCCCCCCCAAAGAAAAGAAAGAAAAATACCCCGCAAAATCAATCAAAATCAAAATCAACAAATAAAAGGAAACAACCACACACACACAAGTAACTAAATGTATATTTAGATAAATATATAACCCAGAACAAATAAAGGAGAGAAAAAATAAATAAAAAATACATTTTTTTATTAAACAAATAAACATTCAAACCTTGAGGAATACGAAAAGCCAATGTGTAATACTAAAGCAAGAAGACACGATAAACTGTACCAACATTACAATGCTCCCCGATGTGCATGCTTTACCTGGGCTACATACGGGTGATCTAAGTTAGAAATATATGACTGATATAAATTCTTTATACACGGTAATATCGAATATTCTTGGATTATCTTTTTTTTCCAATGTGCTCCATTCAAGAAAAGTTATATAGAATTATATATTTACTCTCCCCCATGTATTTTGCTCTTTTATGTAAAAGCTTTTTCACCTTACACATTTTAATTACAGATTCCTTTGTTTTGATTTTAATGCAAACAACCCAGGCTTTTGAAATGCTATACAAAAAGTATGCTCAAAAGTTCGGCGACTTTGTTTCCATAATGCGCGGTTTGGCGCGGTTTCACCAACTGCAAACCGCTAGGGGCTAGCGTTTGGTAAAACCGCGACAAATCGAAACAGTTCATTTATGATGACGATGTAGTATTTCCATTGGCGCGGTTAGGACCGTTCGGCTAAAAAAGAAATCGAACAGTGCTCGATTATCTTGAACCGCGTGGTTAGCCCAGCGGTTCTACCCGAGCCAAGGGTAATTTGACAGAATAAGGCCTAATATCTTGGAAAAAAAACCTTGCATAGCGGTTTGACTTGAGGTGCGCCGTTTGAATATATACAGAGTTTTGTATTACATTTCAACCGCCTCCCAAAACGGGCCCCAAACCGCGTGGCGAACTGACTGAATGAAAGTGTTTTTCATTCAAAAGAAACACGCCAGAAAGATATATTCTTAATTGAATACTGAATTTTATGATTTTTAATATAGCTATTGTTGCTTGCATTATTGAAAAGTAAGCTTATAAACGTAATATTAATTTATGAATGTAGTACAAACCAACAAAATCATTTTCAAACGAACTATTCCAACGTGTCCGTAGATGACTAGCCGTCAGTTCATGTGGGTGTCACTGCTGGTGTCATCCTGAGAAAATGGGGCTGGCGTGTCACGCCGAGGTGTTTTCATGTAGGGAGGGCGGTTGTGGGCAACGGGCATGTCAAGTTGCTTCCCATCACACATAATACGTGTACAAATACCTAAAGGGTTAGAACATTTGCTATCATTTGCTTGTATCGTTCGTCAAAACATTGCCATACAGTTCTTCAGTGTTACCAAATCTTCTCGTGATGGATGCCAGCGAAGTATCTCGCCTTGTAGACTACATCGCCTCTACTACGTACCCAGAAGACTTCACCAAAGATCAAAAGAGACGTCTACGTGAGAAGGCAGCCTCTTTCACAGTTGCTGACAGAGTTCTCTACCATCTAGGCAATGGGGAGAAGAAGCAGACGGTCGTCGTTGGTGAAGAAGAGAAGATGAAGATCATAGAGACTCTCCACAGCAGCATTGTCGGTGGTTGTCACTTCGGGCAGAATGCAACCATTGCCAAGGTCACCGAGCGGTACTGGTGGCGCAGTATGAGTAATGACGTCCGTGAGTTCTGTAAGCGTTGCCCTGCTTGCCAGAAAGCGAACCCCAACAACAGACCCCAAGTGGCAAGCTTACACCCTGTCCCTGTTAAGGAACTTTTTCATCGATGGGGTATTTACCTTATTGGACCACTTAAAGAAACTGTAGATGGGTTCAGGTATATCATCGTTGCCACCGAGTACCTTACCAGATGGGTGGAGGTTGCTGCACTTCCAGACAAGAAGGCCATCAGCATTCATCAGTTTCTGATGCAGCTAGTGTACAGATACGGGGCCAGTCAAGTACTCCTGCACGACCAGGGAAGGGAATTTTGCAATTTTCTTGTGAAGGATCTCTGTGACATTTTAGCTACTGACCAAGCCACGACGTCCCCGTATCACCCCCAGTCCAATGGTCTCACCGAAAGATTTAACCAGACCATGATCACCCAGCTGATGAAGATGGTTAACAAGGACGCAGACGACTGGGACAAGTTCCTTCAACCCGTTGCGTTTGCCTACCGGACCAACATCCAGGCGTCTACTAAGACGTCTCCGTTTGAGCTCCTGTATGGCCAGAAAGCAAGACTTCCCATCGACCTTGAAGAAGCGAAGGATGACAAAGCTGTCTGGGATGTTGACGTCGAAGCCGTCGCTGACCGCATGACGAAACTTGCTGACGTGATGCCCTCAAGCCGTGCAACAGCTAGAGACAACATCGAGAAGGCACAGTCAAAACAGAAGAGGCGATACGATCTTAAACACAGCTCGCCCGTTTTCCAGGTAGGATTTTTAAGCTCTATTTCAAAACAATCATCTGTTAGTAGCAGTAGCAATTTGGGAGAAAGCCTAGCGTGTGTAAAACTAATGGTTACAAACTGTTAAATTAACAAAACAAGTATGGGACTGCGTTATTTTAGAATAATTACTTTCTTAAGAAATATATTCTTTTTGAATGCAGATATATTCTTATGATAATAGGTTATTATCCTGCAGATACGACATTGCAAAGATGAGACCCCACCTAGTGCAGTGCCTGATCGCACACGACGTCAGTCCTTTTCCAAAGACTGTGACGCGTGGACGCCCGCCGAAGTCAAAGATCATCACGCTATAGTTGTGTAACCGAAAGTTGTACTGTAAATACAAACCTAACACTGACATATTTAAACTAGAAATTATGTCCAATGAACATGATGTATTGAAGCAATTGACCTTGAATTTGTTTTCCAAAATATGCTATCATGCTTATGAAAGTGCTATCCATAAATACAGAGTTTGTTGTTTCTAATACAGTTTTTGTTGTCTGTATACAGTTTTTTAATATACCAGTTTGAGTCTACATGTGAACACAATCGATGGTTGAAATGTAAGTCTAAGAACAAAACATGAACTAATTCTCAAGAACTTTTCATCTTTGACTGACTGATGTATTTTCAATCTTTATTCAGCACTGCCTATAGTACGAAGCATTAAGTTTATGAAAAATCAGCATTGATTTTGACTCCATAAACTGTCATAAAGTATTCATAAAGTATCAGGGGTCATTTCAACTTGCAAAATGATTGACATAGTCCTTTATAGAGCGAGGATTGGGCTGTTTTCCCACTCGATTGACTGATATTACATGGTTTAGAAAGGTACAATGAATGGTTAAGCATGAATATTACACTAATACGCGATATTTCATAAGAAAATATCATATATCCGTTAAAACATAAAACCAATATTTATGAGTATATAAGACTTTATCACTGTATCCAATTCCAAAATTTTAGATATAAACTTAGGACAGTTCAGTTTAAAATTCTTCAACCTTTAATTCATCACAGGATGTGTAGCTAGACGACGGGAATCTATAGTCTTGACTGTTTTCTTTGATGAAAATGTTTCTCACCGACCTTAGTGTGTAGGGGTGTGATATCCTGGGCAGGAAATGACAGTGTTTTGACTACTCGTCTTTCATTAATTAACGTGTTGGGCATCCCTAATGAACCTTTACTAATTCATGTTAAACCAACACAGGATGTTTTCTGGAAGTGGACAATCGCGAATGTAATAGGGCTGACACGACACGGGTTAATAACTTCTAAAGTTACTAAACAATCTTTGTACCTAACGACTAGCATATAAACTAAACATCGTCTCTATCAGAAGTGATTTGCTTGTATATAGATGTAAACACATTTGATGATACATCTGTGTGTTTAAAGTTGATTTTGACAGCCCGGGCCAAGTCGGACAGAACACAAACACTTCTGATAGAGACTGTTGATAATGTAGAGGGAAAAGCGCTTCACTTTGAGCACCTTATTTTTTTAAATACCGCGATCTGAGACACTATAAAGTGGTATTAAGGTAGATATAATACTAGTCTATAGGTGTGAGTCCATTTCATGTTACATCTGTGAGGTTTAAGTTGATCTTGACAGCCCGGGCCAAGTCGGACCGAACACTTGTGAGACAGTTGAGAGTATGGGGAGAAGAGGTCTACTATAACAAACGTGTCTGCTTTAAATACGATCAACAGTGACATTATAAAGTGGTATTTACTTAGCAATAGTACGTTCCTATAAATATAAACGCCACGCCGACAGATGGAAATTTGTATCAGGATAGCTGGAAGTATTTGATACGTTTCAAATCTTATTTCGTTTAACGATTGATCTTTTACATGTTACCTAGATCAGCGACGCTTACATCTCATTTTTGGTTGGTGCTTGTTCATAAATCTTATGTGTCTATGTTGCATCAATGATATGTAGGTATGATCACCGATAATGAAGAAATTTGCCAATAACTCTTTGGTCCGTCTTGGCCCGGCTGGCCCGACTTTTAGGCAATACCCTCAACTATTGACTTACTTACTTACTTACTTTTGAGATTCAACGTGCGCATTCCGACTGATGCGTATTTCGCACACGGGCCAGGCCATTTAATGTGTTTTCGTCCTATGGAAACTCAAACAGCTAAACCTAATCTAACCGATGATGAAGATTTCTCCACTACTGAGGAAACAATAGACACTACTCCAACTAAAACAAACCAAAATTCCCTCCTAGCCCCAAAAAGGAAGAAATAACTAAACCGCAAAACTCCCCAACCAGCCAACACCCAAAACCTAAATAACCTCCTAAATACTCCTAGTATACATGCATAGTCAAAACTCACCAAAAGCTAGCATGAAATCCTTCCACAAAGTTGCTTTCAATATAAAATTAACCGATCTTTCCTTCTTCCTCTTTAACCTCCACCTAAAAGAAGTCACCGAATAATATAAAAACTAAAAATTAAATCACCTATCACCCGAACCCAATAATGAAAGGACTAAATATTTTTCAGTGGAACGCCAACGGACTCACCTCCCGCGGCCATGAACTAAAAACTAAATTTAAACTAAATAAAGGCCCTCACATTGCTTGTATCCAGGAAACCAAATTCTCAAAAAAATCCAAATCCACACTACCTAACTACAACTAAGTTAGAACTGACAGAGCTAAACCAAAAACAAGAAGAGCCGCAGGAGGACTAATCATATTTATCAGGGAAGATATAAATTACGAAGAAATAAAAATAGACACGCCAAACCTAGAAGCCAACTGCATTAAAATCACATTAAATAACCGAAAAATAAACATCATAAATATATACCACTGGGCGGAACAAAAAGTCCAACCTGAGGATCTAAACAAACTACTTCAAATAAGCGATAAATCTACTATATTCCTAGAAAACTTAACGCTCACCATCCTACATGGAGCATAGATGATAAAATAGAAAATCATGGCAAATTAATCTCCGAATGGATAGAAACAAACGACCTAGTACTCCTAAATAACAACCAACCCACGAGGTACGATAAGATAAACCCAAAAATGTCGGCTATCGACCTAACCATATGCACCGCAGATCTATCTCAAAGTACTCAATGGGAAGTGCACGACGTCCCGCTAGGTAGTGACCACTTCCCGATAAACATAACCATAGTAAATACAAACGTACCAATCCAAACAGAAAACCAAGAACCATAATTCTATTACAATAAGCTAACTGGGACCAATCCCAAGATATCTGCAACGAAGCTAACTTAAACGAAATAGAAAATAATGACCCAGAAACCTATTGTAAAAACCTAACAGACTAATATATAATAAAGATAGCCAAAACCTCCATCCCCTTCAAAACATCAGGCAAACCCACGGTACCATGGTGGAATGAGGAAATAGAACAGGCTAGACGAAAACGTAAATCAGCCTTCAATAAAGCAAAACGCGACTACACACATCTAAACTTAGCCCACGAACTAAACCACCAGGTTCAAAAACTAGTCCAAATAGCCAAAAGTAGAGACTGGAAAAAATTCTGCGAATGTATAAATAACCGTACAGATGCCAGAACGGTCTGGCGCAAAATCCACGCCATTAGAGGCTTAAAACGACATAAAAAACTAACATTAACAACTCAACCAACCCCGCCCAAAAAGCAAATAATCTCGCCAACAACTTTTCGGCCGTTAGCAGTAGCACCAACTTCAGCCAAAAATTCCAAGATAAACTTAAAACAAAAATCAAACCCACAAAAGAACCAAACAATAACAATCTAGAAATAAACCAACCCTACAAAATGGAGGAGCTCCTCTACGTAATCCAAAACAGGAAAAAGGGCACAGCCCCAGGATTAGACCTAACTTCTGAACAAATAATTAAAAAAAAAAACCTAAAACTATATCCTACTCCCTGGAAACAGGCCCTAGTCATACCAATCTCTAAACCTAATAAACCAGCTAATCAAGCTAACTCATATCGACCAAAATCTCAACTTCAAACTAATGCAAAGTAATGGAATCAATGGCTAAAAATAGATTACAACATTACCTAACCCAAAATAACATCAACTATTGAACTGCATGGCAAGTATTTATAAAACGACCGGGGGGGGAAATATTCTGGGGGGAGACTTTATTTCGTAGGGTGGGGGAGAGTTTATTTCGAGAGGGGCGGAACTGTACCGGTATAAATTCGCCGGGGGGAGACTTTATTCTGGGGGCGAATATATTTCGTGACACCGGCATAAGCCCGACGAGTACAAGCAGCCACAAACACACGTACATTCACCTCGCTGTCGTGAACGTGACGTTAACATCACCTACAGCAGAAACAATGCTCACTCACTCTTCCTTGTAGGTTGGCTGCATGACGTCACCTTGTCTTACTCCAGCGGGTTTCACGTAGGAGGTATGTCCTAAGCCTCTCTATATTTTCAAAAAAAGACTAAATTAACGCATGTTTTAACAAGCTGAGAATCTCGCATAGAGATGTTTCATGACTTCAGTCGTTAGCTAGCGGAATTTATACAAGTAATTGACATGGACACCAATAATACAAATGAATGCGGTTGATAACACATGTGAAGAGAAGTTTGCCTTGCCAACAAAGACATGAAAGTTTTCTATCAACGTTATTTTCACAGCACACCTGAGATATGTTTAAGCAAATGCTTCCTTGTTTAAGGAAGGCATTATTCATGAATAACAACATTGAGACTTAATACAAAATACACTGGAAACTTCAATAGCGAAGATGGACAGCTCGGCAACGAGATGGATCCTTCCTTTGTTACTCTTGTTATGAGATTATTGAGTTGGCTTGTCCTCTTCAAATCAGTTCAATCTGCCCTGTTTGTGAACTACTTGTGATTAAGCCTATTTTGCTAAGAGTAACTTGACTTGATTAGGTATCCTAAATTGTACTTGGCACGTTTATTAGAAAAATCGATTCCCCCTCTTGTCGACCCTATATAGGTACCGACAGCCTTCTAGAAACTGCCCCATCCAGAAACGTCTGGAACGATTGAGCCTGCCATGTTCATGTGCACAACAAAGGGAGATAACACTAATTTTAACAAACGGATGAATTGCTCCAATTGCCGCTGTCGACTGCGGTTCAAATCCGGTCACAAGAGCACTTGATGTTTTCTACCAGAATTTCAATCACATGTTGCTACTGCCAATTACTACAAATATATTTACACTTAGACTACTTACACATAACCGTGTGTATGATCTGTTACCAACTGTGTATCGTTGATTTATGTATTTGACAATGAATTGTCTCATTTGAGATATTTTAATTATTAGAAATGTATTTTTACCATATCTCTCTGATTCAGGTTTGTTCGTGCTAGTTGCCGCCCTGCTGGTTCTGCTCATTCCCGGATGTAAACTCGGGACGTCCGAGTCACCGCATGAGGTTACCATGGAAACACTAGTACACACAGAACAGACTGTTGTCATACGTCCTCCATTAGATCTGTGATATGTGTCATTGTATCATAATAATGACATTAATAATAATTCAGAGTTCAGAGCTCAACGCTCGCAATAAAGTCAAAGTACAAATACTTTTGTTGTACCCGTCCTTTCGTATTCTTTTTGTGTTGTTGATTGGACGAACAAAAAATTCAGAGTATTGACAAACTCACACGAAGGATACCACAACCGTCGCTCTTCCCTCAATCGCTTTTATTTACCAGTTACAGTGGGAGGGCGTGGTTTGATTAACGCGGATGTTCTTCATGACAGAATTGTATTGTGAACCTACGCAAACATTTATTTGTCTGATGATCCTCTTGTGAAGCATGTCAAGACTCATGATGAAAACAAGGCATTCCACGGTTTTCTTAAAGGAGCCAAGGATGTGGGACATAATCTCAAAGTCGATGTTGATTTTGTTGAAGTATCTCTACAGCAGGACGGTACAGAAATGAGCGTCTACCAGAGAGGGCGTGGTTTGATTAACGCGGATGCTCTTCATGACAGAATTGTATTGTGAACCTACGCAAACATTTATTTGTCTGATGATCCTCTTGTGAAGCATGTCAAGACTCATGATGAAAACAAGGCATTCCACGGTTTTCTTAAAGGAGCTAAGGATGTGGGACATAATCTCAAAGTCGATGTTGATTTTGTTGACGTATCTCTACTGCAGGACGGTACAGAAATGAGCGTCTACCAGAGAGGGCGTGGTTTGATTAACGCGGATGCTCCTCATGACAGAATTGTATTGTGAACCTACGCAAACATTTATTTGTCTGATGATCCTCTTGTGAAGCATGTCAAGACTCATGATGAAAACAAGGCATTCCACGGTTTTCTTAAAGGAGCTAAGGATATCGGACATAATCTCAAAGTCGATGTTGATTTTGTTGACGTATCTCTACTGCAGGACGGTACAGAAATGAGCGTCTACCAGAGAGGGCGTGGTTTGATTAACGCGGATGCTCCTCATGACAGAATTGTATTGTGAACCTACGCAAACATTTATTTGTCTGATGATCCTCTTGTGAAGCATGTCAAGACTCATGATGAAAACAAGGCATTCCACGGTTTTCTTAAAGGAGCCAAGGATGTTGGACATAATCTCAAAGTCGATGTTGATTTTGTTGAAGTATCTCTACAGCAGGACGGTACAGAAATGAGCGTCTACCAGAGAGGGCGTGGTTTGATTAACGCGGATGCTCTTCATGACAGAATTGTATTGTGAACCTACGCAAACATTTATTTGTCTGATGATCCTCTTGTGAAGCATGTAAAGACTCATGATGAAAACAAGGCATTCCACGGTTTTCTTAAAGGAGCCAAGGATGTGGGACATAATCTCAAAGTCGATGTTGATTTTGTTGACGTATCTCTACTGCAGGACGGTACAGAAATGAGCGTCTACCAAGCGAAGTGCCATATCAAGTCAGGCCAGACTCAGTTTTTCAAGGATAGGCTATCAGAACGACCACTGCATCGAGTTTTTGTGCTTTTTGTTTGATGAAGTCTGAGTCCTTCGCTTGGATGAAGTCGTCTGGCCTTAAAAGTGAAACAGAAGGCTTTCTGTTGCTGCTCAGAACCAGTCACTTCCCACTCGAAACCGTCAATGAGTGATTTTGCATCAAAATGTTAAAATGAAATGTAGATTATGTAATGAATTTAATGAGACTGTCCAACACGTTGTCAGTGGGTGCCCAGCTTTGGCACAAACACGGTAACTTTAGCGACATGATGGGGTGGCTAGATCATCTAATGACCGTCTTCTCCATGCTTGAGGTTTTGACAGAGGTCCATCCATGCTACGACCCAGAATATGTAGAGGGCGTCGTGGAAAATGATAAATACAAAATACATTGGAATAGGCCCGTATACAGCCTCAGACCTATCCAGGCCAACAAACCTGACCTTGTCCTTTGTGATAAATCAAATGAAATCATTTATAACTTTGAATTTTCTGTCCCTTTGGACACTGATGTGATTGACAAGATTCAGAAAAGACATGACAAATATGCGGACCTCGCTTTCGAAATGTCACGCTTGCATCACACGTACCAAGTTGTCCATCTCCCCGAGGCAAGAGAGTAAACTGACTATACAAGTCCAGTTTAAACCCTTGCCGAACTAGGCTGGTATTATTGAGTTACATTTTGGCTTGACTAACGAGTCTATGCATAGTCCAATCAAACTCGCACACCGAAATGGAAATCCGGTTCGTAAACTGTCGTGCAGATTTAGGTCGATTGCAGGATTTGCAAAACATGTGCACCGCCAACTCGTTGTCAGCAGATATTTTCCAAATCTTTTCATGTTTTTAATCAAGGTGCTCACGTGATTTGATGCATTTCGCGATGTAAGACCCGTTTTATCACGATATAGAACTTGATCATCGATCAGATCGTCCTGACTGGGCGCCACCATTTTGTGTGAAGCAAACACAAGTGATGCGAGAGGTGGAATCTGATTGGTCCGTAGGAGAGGTTTAGAAGGGACATAACTAGTAATAGCCACTGGTGGCGCTACGATCGAGCCCAGGAATTCCAGTCTAGTTCGGCAAGGGTGGAAACTGGACTTTTAAAGTCAGTTAACTCTCTTGCCTCGGGAAGATACAAGTTGTCCGACTCCCCATTGTTCTCGGTGCCTTAAGTTTGGTACCTCCAAATCTATTGTCTGACATTTGGAGAGTACTCGGGTTTGCTGCCAGGAATATCTGGGTAATGCAGGAGGTTGCAGTGTTGGGGAGTCGTCATGTTCTCCGAAACGTTCTGGTTGGGTTCGACAAGGTAGCGCTTCCTGAGATAAGTCCCATTCGCTGTCTGGACTGCGTGTAGAGGGGGCAAGGGCCCTGAGCTGATGATAAGCCTGACCAGTCTGACTGTGCCAGGATCACCTAAACTCTCTTTGCTGCATGTTTTATTTAATCTGTACAAATACCGTTCCAACTAACACCCTTTCGTAATCAATCGGTATTCTTTACGAATAAGAAATTTCTTTACACATGACGTTACTACGAGGAAGACGGACACGTGGATGTGATTATCGACACGAACCAAGATATTTTTAAAAATGTTATAAATGTCATAATGTTCAGTAATGAACAATTGACCGCTGTCGCACGCATATATCACAGCATGTGAAATAGTCCAGATTCCCTTGACGATGTTTAAGCTAAAACTATAGTGGGTGTAGATGTTCTAAACGATCTTAGCTGAGATTAATCCTAACAATTTACGTTCAAACATAAGATATTTTCAGTTAAAGATAAGATACATTTTCGAAACTATCTTAAATATGTTGCAGATTATACAAACTGTGACAGACAACGCTTTTGTGTTGGAGTTTGAAAACCAGGGGGTTTTCCAATGACGTCACGGGAATTTTCCAGCCAGTGACAATAGCAACATTGTTGCATGGCAGTGCATTTTATTATTTAACGATGATTGTAACTGTTTTATTGTAACTGTGTTACATTGTGTTTGGTGGAGATTCATTGCATTGTGTTTGGACAATGATCAGTCGTCATGAAGATATTATATTCAGATGCTAGTGTGGTGTGTAAACCGGTATGCCACGGACGGTGACATCATGATACAGAACATATGGAAAGTTCTGTAATGTTCTAGTGCTGGCTAGAGGGCACGGTATAGAAACTTCCTGCAGCTTGTTAGGCTGCACATAGAGTGGGACAAGAGCGCGCTTACGTATCTCTCACACATTTCGTCTCTCACGCATTTTCATCGCTTCGATTCGGCAGCAGCTTTCATATGAGAATCGTTCATCATCCCTGATTACCTGTCCAGCGCATCCCGCAAGCTTGACCACTGTCGCCGCTGGGTGAATATATATTATCATCACTGACTTTTGCCATCACCACTGTATTTTTGTATTTGACACTGCCCACTGCCATCACACTCCTATTATATATGGCCATTGAATATTGAACTATCACTCTGTTGTTTACTGCCATTGTAATTGCTGTGCAGTAATTTGTATAAATTTGGAAACTTAGTAGATTTTGTAATACACTTGTTGATTGTAAACCACAGTTCTTTTACGTACTGACTTCGGGATTAACTTTATGTTTCAATTTGGGAATCAACACGTAATGATATATTAACCAACATATTGCAGGTAACAGGTGGTTCTGAAGAACTAAACGACCTTAGCAACGAATCATTTTCATTTGTCAACTTCGATCATCTAGCTCATGGGAAATAAATTAATAAGACCATATGAATCGGCTAAGTGAGGTTTGTTTCACATCGCGTTGAACAATATTTCAGTTATATCGTGGCGTGTATGACTTGATATTGGAGGGAAGCCCCAAGGGATGCATGCCTTAGACGTTTACCACTTAATTAGTAACCCGTGAAGATCCAGGGTAGAATAGGTCTTCAGCAACCCATGCTTGCCGTAAATGGCGACGATGCTTGTCGTAAAAGGCGACAAACGGGATCGGGTGGTCAGGATCGCTGACTTGGTTAATGCATGTCATCGGTCCCAATTGCGTGGATCGATGCTCATAATATCAATCACTGGATTGTCTGGTCCAGACTCGATTATTTAGAGACCGCCGTCATATAGCTGGAATATTGCTGAGTGCGGCGTTAAACTACAAACAAAACAAAACTTAATTAGTGTCACGAGCATGGAAGTGGTGCTGACGGACCTAGAAACAAAATTAGTATCAATCTGAGATTCGAACCCACTTTTGAAGGATTCCGGCACAACTAAGGGAAGCAACTCGGCACAGCTTCACGACTGGGCCACCCGTGTCCCCCGCGCTTGTTGTGAGATGCCGTAGAGGCTATGGGCTCACAACCAACTTTCCCACATCTTGCTAGCACTCTCAAGACACCAATATTGATGTACTGATCGTCAATATAGTCGAACGGACTTGACTACGGGGATGGATTAGCCACCAAGATATACATACAAGACGCCATGAGAGACTGACTATACGCTGGGTACATGGACTAGCTGCCAAGATATACGCCATGATAAACGTACGAATCAGAATTCACGAGAGGGGGTAGACCAGACATACGGAAGCCTTTTAGGGCCATTTGGTTTCCTTATTTTTTTCGATACTATCTTGAAATATCAAGATA